TTTATAACATAAGAATAAAATATAACATTTAATGTAGCCTTGACAATGCCATTTATTCAAGGCAGTCTTTGAGGAAACATTTGTATATTCTAATAGAGTCTTAATACACCACATACATCTTTGGCTTGGGTATATAGGTTACATTTTCGCTTTGGACAGGAAGTGTGGACAATCTTTTACAGTTCAAAGACTGTTATCTGAATACTACACTCTTTCACGTTGGAATTGGATTCAAGTCGAATGCACTTTCTTGATATTGCAATACAGGTAAGTGAAAGTAAGTAACAACATTTGATCCTTTGCAAAAACCCACTGACAGGGTTTCATATCTGCACGATAGTTCATTTCATCTGTCTCATTTTATTAATGACAATGTTTAAACAGGACGTATTGTGACGATAGAGCGGATGAACTGGTACATGCATTCTTTTCTAGAGGATATGATGCTAGGATATTGACTGACTGCAAGGATCAAGCCAAGTCTCTTACAATTAAACAGTTGTTACAGAAGAGGGTGAGGGATGTGACCTAATGCATCCCATGTGTGACCAGATATGAAAGGGCATGTGAAAAATGTAGACATATGGCTGATGGCACCAGTAGGTAGGTATGTACCGTTCAGACATTGTATTAACTTAATGTTATTACTGGTGACCATTTTGTACACGTCACTTTGTAGCGAAAAATCAGTTTCCCAGTTGCGTTATACAATTCTACAGATGTTAAAACTTCCAAGGAGTGAGGTTCAAGGGAAGATATATTGAAGCAATGGGAGCTGTATTGGATGTACGAACTGCAGACACTTCATCAGAAGGGCCTTGATGAGGAGTGGGATTTCTCTCCATGTTGTAGATATCATAGTTTTTATCCACTGTGTGTATGGGATTATGTATCACTTGTTTCTTTGTATTATTCTATTCTAGGTGATTTCTTGATGTAAGTTATTTTTTACATGGATTTTTTCATTTGCAAATGGAGTGATGACGGGCTAATTATGCGGCTAGATTTCAACATGTGTTTTCTTACGCTGGATATAGATTGTTGTGCAATAGCTTATGTCAATATGTTGACCATGTTCTACTGATTCTGACTGATTAGGCGTTTGTCATAATGCACTTAGAATTATAGGGCTTCTTAATCTGTCAGATGGTTTAATTAGGTTCATTGTGCTTTGTATTATTCTGTGTCATATGATATTTCCTATTTGCAATAGCAATATTGTGAGCCTATTGGAGATTGAAATTGTACTATTGACATTCTAGAACTAGATGCACTTTATATTCTGGCACGTGTGCATTTTTGTCAATAGAAACCACATTGTGGTCGTTACTACATACAATGTGGGCACTCTAAGTGGAGAGAGTGGACTCTTGATTATTTGATTTAGTGGAGCAGCCGACGTATATTTCCATCTTTACGGCTGCTTGTAAAAACACTGTGGGATGTTTATCTTTAGTTACATACCAAGTAAAATGGCGCTATGCTTACTATGTTCGATTCGAAACGAGCATTCGTGAATATAGGAAGTTATGCCACTAAGTGAGTAACCTTAATACATGTAAGGTTTACTCATTTTACTTTATGTGCATTATCTGGTTTAAGATATTGTAAGGTTGTAGGCAGGGTGCTTGTAATGCACTATGTATTTCCCGGTACCAGAAGTCCATTTGAGATTTAATGCTGATGGCAACAGGAATATATAAGCAGGTACAGGTATGTAAAGATACATATACCCCTGAGAAAGGCCACCAGGGAGGGTGCCAAAATGTTGCATAGTGGGGTGGGGGAAAGAGGGGTTGTTCATTCCGTCTCATTAGGTTATTGGCTTTTATGGTAATTACTTTGGTATATGTGTCTTAGCCCTTACACACTGTTTGGTAACTGTGTGTGTATATATATATAATTTTTTTTTACAAAGTATTGAATTTTATGTAGCTATTGGAGTGTGCTTCTTTATTTTTGTATACATATGACTATCTAAGGCATTTAAGGGAGTAGCTATTTGGTTTGCAGTTTGCACCTTATTCTGTATTTTTGAGTTACATGGTACACCCTTCATGCAATACTGTTGTGTGTTTGACATTATGCCATGTTTTGGGAAGCAGCATCAGTGAGGATTAAAGCACTTTACCTTCAGCTGACATGTGAAATTTAGTTAAGGCATCTGATGAGACAGGTTTCTACTTTTTGTAGAAAATCATTTAATAGTTTATATGCAATAAAAATTACAGCATATGCCGTGAAAAAAAATTGCAGACTACTATGAAAGTTGTGTTTGGGGGGGAAAAAATTAACCTTTTTTGGTTCATTTTGAATTTGTGAATGTAAAGAACGTGGAATTTGAAGATTGTTTAACATACGCATTTGCAATATCCATGAATCAATACCCACAAATGAGCTGTTCAACTAGGAGATAGGGTCATTTGGTCTGTCTTTCCAAATTTCACAGATTTCTAATTGACCATGGACCATTGTCATTAACCCCTAAAGCAAATTCACCCCCGAAAGAGACTCCAAGGGATGTGATTGTTATACTTCTTTCATGTTAAAGAGAAATGTCTAAGCATCTTGAGACAGATCTAAATGATCAAATTAACTTAAGCATTTGACATTTTTAAAAGATATTTCTGTTAAGTCTTCTGAGAACGTAAATTTCAGTATTTTTCAAGGGAATTACAGAGAAGAAATATCAAATATAGATGGGGAATCCTTATAAAGATTCTCTTTCAACATGGACAGATTATCATTGATACACCGGACGAGGACGAACAATTCTTACTCTTACTAAATCCCGAGGACCCTAAAACAGCAAAACCTTGGGTAGAGATGTGCAAGGTGGTCGAAATGTATCATTTTACTACATATTCATAGGTTTGGGATTTTAGACGTACCTGATTTGTTAATTGGTTTTGTGATAATGACGACAACCTTTTAATATGTGGATTACAAATAGATTATACAACCCTGTCCAGATGGTTATACACTACTTGATAGAAATTATCTTTTTCCTGAGACAATAGGTCATACATTGCTGCTGTGACTTAACTGTTATAAGTTGGCACTGTGGTTCATTAGAAACAAGTGCATTTACAACTGGGGACTAACTACCCGTGAATGAAGTGCATGTTAAAGATAAAGATATAAAAAGGAGAACTTTACATTTTACATTCTGCTAAACATTTTTGAAAGGTTCCCTTTTTCTCCTTGCTTATTCATGCAGATATGTGAGGAAAGAGAAGTAGCCTTACACACACACACACTTAATTTTTTTGGAAGAACAGACTTTGAAACTCTTTCTATTCAAGAGTCCCTCTAATTGCATCTTTTTTTATTTTTGACCCAATTTGTTAAGTCTCAGTTTTTTTTTTCTTTTACGCATACACCAATGTTTTGCAAGACATAATTGATGTAAAATTAAGTTTAAGGTTTGTGTACACATTGCTTGGAGCGTTTGATGCTGCTCAACTGCTGTGGGTACCGAGCTACTATTTAGATCAAACATTTAAACCCTTACGAGTTCCTTTCTATGCTGGTTTCCAGGCTCTCTTGTTTGGATTTTTTAAATGTAGGCAACACCATTATCTAAAAAGATTTTCAGATGCTTTTATAATGATTAATTAAAAAGTGGTCCATCAGTGCACCCAATGCCACCTCTTCTGAAGTCAGAATCACCTGCCAAGAGCTTCCGGTAGCTTCAAAGAGATAGTCCTGTAAGGAATTTAGGTAAATCCAACACGCAGTCTTTAAATTATAATATAGCTATAAACATATACAGGACCTTAGAGTAGCCGGGCTTAACGTACAGAAGACAGAGAATGGTCAGGGGCAAGCTAAAAATCAAGAAAAACAGAAATCAGGAAAAGCGAGGAGCAGCAGCAAAGTCACGGAGTATGGTTAGGAGAATAGTCAATAATAGCCAAGATCCAAACCAGACAGACAATAAGAGTTATAACGTATTATTGTATTAGGAACCAATACAAAACCACAACAGGGTGTAGTCCTGAGCCCTAGCAGAGTCACACTGGGTGGTGTTTGAAACGCTGAAGACCATGACAAGGTCTACAAATAGCAGGCAAGAGCCAAAGTGCCCTTTATATTTCAACAGATATAGAACAGACACTTACTCTCACAACATGACCCATGCAGGCCTCTCCATTCTGAAAAAGACAGATTTGTCTTCTGCTCATAAAGACTTCTCTAGGGCTTTGATTTTGATATCAAACTCCCTTCTCTGTTTCACTAGGCTGTCCCACAACCTTTATACCTAAAAAGGCATATAGACTAAACTGATATTATCCTTTCTTTCCTCTATTCCCCTATAACTCACTTCCTCTCCACCAGCTGCACACTGTCCTATCAGCCTATTTTTTTTGTATAGAATGCATGTTACATTTTGTGTAATTGTACCCCATTCTACTTAGAATTGTAAGCCTGACCACACTCCATTCCTTCACATCCACCTTGTCTTGTAGTTCTAACTATTGTATAGAACTGGACAGTTTATAAAATAATAATAAAATGACAGAATTACTCCCATCACTGGATACAAAATAATTACCATCCTGAAGTGGTTAATAATCACTACTACACAAACACCCCTCAATTACATCCTGTTCCCCCTTTTAAATGTACAGCAAAACCTTGGGGGGAACTCAAAACCTTTCAAAATAAACTAATTTACACTTTAAAAAAAACATCCTGCTCTCTCCATGAAGCCTTTGCAGACTAGCATGCTAAAGAAGCAACAATTACTGCAGCCTTAGCATGCCACGTTAACCACGGTCTGCTAATCAATCGCACTGCCCAACGAATGCGTAGAAACTATAGCCGTAAAGCTCCTTATGGCTCCGCCTCTTGCGTAACAGCGCCTGCGTACATGGCTTGGAGAATACGCGCACGCGCATCTGTAGCAACAAAAACGCGATCACGCTTTACCAAGAGCGCATGCGCGGTGAAAGGCCCACTCTGCACATGACCCTTGCTCTTTGACCGCACTGCGCATGCGCGGATTTAAATACCGCTACAGATCTGGACAAGGGTCAGGATATAGAGAATCCGGGACAGCGGTAACACAGATCGATAAGGTCTTTACAGGATTGGGACAGTTGTCAAGTATGCGATGTTTTTTTATTAAATATATTTTATTATAACTTACACAGCTGTGTCATTGTATTTAATTGTGTAAGGCTAATATTTTAACAGTGATGACATCTTCTGGACTTCTATCAGTGTATGAATTTTATGTACAGTGTACCAATCCAGTATTGCTTTGGTGAGCCTGCAAACAACGTGCATACATCAGCACATGTAAATCAAATGTACACACACACACACACTCACTCCACCCCCACCCCGATGGTATTTAAATAAACAATTCTACACCATGTCATTATACTGATTATGTGCGTCAGATGATGTCACCATTTTTTAACTAGTATATTATTGTCATTTCCTACTTGGTATACTCAGTTTTTTTGTTGTGTAAGCAACAGAGTAATCTCTAATGGGTTGTTATTTTTGTGTAGTGCAGTAGGAATAATACACTTGCCAAAATACAAACTTACAGGAGCTAATAAAACAATATGCCAATATTTATAAAATAGTCCTTTGTAGTTTTTTCCAACTCTTTTCAGGTAAAACTTCTTCTGTCAAGGTTTTTTTTTTTTTTTTTTTTTGCAAATACTATGTACGTTGTGGGAAAATAAAACGTATAGGGCGTTTGTTGTGGAAACCAGTGTTCCTAATCCTTACACGCATATTTTGTGTTTGTTTGTAGAATTGTTTGGGTTCGTTTTTTTTTTTTTGTTTTTTTTTTGTTTTTTTCTGGGCTTTGTATTATATATTCAGGGCTTAACTATTCTACTTGCCTCAAGTCATTGGTGAGTGAAAATTTAGACCCGGCTAGTAGCATTGGACTTGAAATGTAAAACATTTATATATTTTTTTTATCACTGCTTTTAGTTTTAATTTGAGAGTTCTAGTACCTGCACAAATGCAAACAAACACAACAAAACTCTATAAAAAGGGTCTTTGCTAATGCTTAATGACACATTGGGAAAAATTAACCAAATCTGAAATATAGCTACATTGGAGATTTTTTTCAGTTTGGTTACTTTGGCCTAGAGTTTGCAATTTCATGTGTAGTGAGTTACCCCCGTTCATCTGTTCTTCAATAAAATGGTTTTGCTTCTAGGTTGATGACAATTCACCAATCCTAAAAAAATATTATGTTAAGTAATGAGTAAACATGTTTAATCTTCTTCTCCAGGTAGATATCACCACCACTTCCATCATGCATCAGAAGATACTGAAGAGTGCCCACTACATAGAGCTGGGGAGCTATCAGTACTGGCCCGTCCTGCTTCCAAGGGGCATTAGACTATATACCTATGAGCAGATTCCTGTTTTCCTCAAAGACAACCCATATATCACAGATGGCTATCGAGCATATTTACCATCCAGATTGTGTTTGAAAAGGTAAGTAGCAAAACTTAAAATTCTGGAAGTTTTGTCTTTTTTTTTTTTCCTTTTTGTAATTTTTCATTTTTTGCATAACGAAATTGATTTATTTTGATTTTTATCATCAATCCCTAAATATGTTTTGGTTTCCCAAATCTGCATTCAACTTTCGAAACTTGGTCAAATGAGCATTCGTAAATTCAAAAACATTACTGTACAGAGATGCTAAGCACAAAAAAAAACACTTTATCTTAATGAAATGTTTTGGTGCATAGTTGCTGTCTCTTTTATTAGACAATGTAAAACATTCTGAGGCATGACAATGTTTACATTGTACCTAAAACCACAACACGTCCTCATTGATGCCTTTTTCGATGGTCTTTATGTTCAGCATCATCATTCTTTGCATGATGAGGCCAAAGGCGTGTCTGGTACTGACAACCACTAGAATATGCAAAGTCTTGATCTTGGCATCATCACTTCAAGCATGATGCTGATGAACAATTTTAAACAATTTTTAAAAAACAATTCAAAAGTTCACTGAAGTGGTTATGCTACCAGGAGTGCCCTGTCGCCCTCTTAGTTAAACAGTTTTAGGAAGCTTTGACAACTTATGTGGCACTAGGGATCCAGTACCTCATTCTCTGGTGCCGGAAATTCTGCCGTTGCGCTAAGCCCTGCTTGTGCCAGACCATGCTGATTGGTCCTGCAACCATTGAACTGACTCTGCACATCCTTGCAGGAGCTTCTAGCAGCATAGACCGTGACAGGCATCAGTAGACCACAGGTAAGTTGATAAGCCATTCTTACGAGGGCACTCTTGGCACCATAACTGCAAGAGCCAACATGGAGTATTTATTTAGAGCAACCTGCAATATGAGTATTTCATAAAGATAAAATCTTTATGAAATCTTATATTGACTGTGTTGTAATTTCACTGAAACTCCAAGCCAGTAAAAAGATAGACTCCGTATTTATCCTACATCTGACATTTCTAGACACTGGGCACAGCTACCACTGTCTAGAAGATTCAGTCTGCCAGTTACGGGTGCAGAGATATTTGCTGTATCTATGAGGATCTCACTGGATCCTCCATAGACCTCAGTGCTGTACTCTTGTGCATGCACAAGAGTGTACAGCAGTGACATCGGCTCCCGGCGCTTCACGGAAACCGTCCCCAAACTAGGAAGAATCACAGTAGATTCTGCTGATTGCAGTACTATTATAACTCTGACATATGAAAACCAAAACAAACTAAATAATCTATAAAGTAAAAATTCTGGGAACTATTCAATTTACAGTGAAACAGATGTATAAACTTGTTGCTAGCAAACCAGCAATGCAACTGTGAGGCAACATTCTTTGTAAGGACATTCTACTCATCTACTGCTTCCTTGGTTATTTCAGCACAAACACTGTATATTCCCTAATGTCAATCACACAGAATTAATCAACTATGTGAAAACATTTTACTGTGGTAAATAACATAGTGATGGATTAAAAAAGGAAAGAAAAAAAAAAACTATTTACCTTTTGTTGCACTTTCTTCTGGGAACTTCCTGTTACTTGATGCATGCAGCAAGTGGAAAAGTGCTGTATGCATACATGCATATTAGGTATTATGTCTAGCATGTGCTATGCGTATCGCACTACAAGAGTTAACTCATTTACAAACTATGCCTAGCCTTGCCATGCAAAGAATGTCAATGAAAATACATACATATATATATATATATATATATATATATATATATATATATATATATATATATATATATAATGTGTAAAAATAGCTCTATAACTAGCTATTTTAATTAAAGGAACACTATAGGGATAGGAACACAAACATGTATTCCTGACCCTATAGTGTTAAAAACACCATCTGGCATCCCCATGTCCCCCTAAATACACCCTTTTCCAAATTATTATGCAAATTATATTTTTCTCATTTACCTAAATAATTGATGTAAATAACAGTCAGCATAATTCTCATGTTATCAACTATTAAGAGTACAATTCAAATTTTATTGAACAAACCTCCTAATGATAACAGTATTTTCTTTAAAGGGACACTATAGTCACCAGAACAACTACAGCTTATTGAATTTGTTCTGGTGAGTAGAATCATTACCTTCAGGCTTTTTGCTGTAAACACTGTCTTTTTAGAGAAAATGCAGTGTTTACCTTACAGCCTAGTGATAACTTCACTGGCCACTCCTCAGATAGCTGTTAGAGATCCTTCCTGGGTCATGGATACCTAAAATGCTTGCAAACATTCAGTATCTCCTCCCTCTGCATGCAGACACTGAACTTTCCTCATAGAGATTAATTGATTCAGTTCTGATTTGGCCAAGGCTGTGTTTGAATCATGCTGGCTCTGCCCCTGATCTGCCTCTTTGTCAGTCTCAGCCAATCCTATGGGGAAGCACTGTGATTGGGTCAGGCTACCACATGACAGCAGACTGCTTGTTTTTATGAGTCTAACAGCATGCAGAGTTACAGCTTCAGGTTTGAATACAGTAAGATTTTTACTATATTTATGGAGGCATGAGGGGCTCAGGGGGCTTAGATGGTGGTGTTAACACTATAGGGTCAGGAATACATGTTTGTGTTCCTGACCCTATAGTGATCCTTTAAACATAAACTTACAATGCACTGTTCCAAATTATTACGCACAGTAAGTTTCAAAACTATAGGTTGTAAAGAACTGAAAATTGTCATTTGTTGTATTTGCAGCATATTTACTGAAATCAAAAGGTATTTCAATCAAACTTATAACAACATTTTAACTTTTTAAACATTTTAACAGGTCACGTTACATTTTAACATAGGACCCCTTATTTGATAGCAGCTTAACAAGTCTTGCATCCATTGAACTTGTGAGTTTTTCGACAGTTTCTGCTTGAATTTGTTTGCAAGATGTCAGAATAGCATCCCAGAGCTGCTGTTTGGATATAAACTGCCTCCCACCCTCATAGATCTTTTGCTTGAGGATGCTCCAAAGGTTCTCACTAGGATTGAGGTAAGGGGAGGATGGAGGCCACACCATGACTTTCTCTCCTTTTATCCCCATAGCAGCCATTGATGCAGATGTATTCTTTGCAGCATGAGATGGTGCATTGTCATGCATGAAGATGATTTTATTACGGAAAGCATAGTTCTTCCTTCTGTACCAGGGAAGAAAGTGGTCAGTCAGAAACTCCACATACTTTGCAGAGGTCATCTTTACACCTTCGGGGACCTTAAAGGGGCCGACCAGCTCTCTTCCCATGACTACACCACCGCCTTGCTGACGTCGCAGCCTTGTTGGAACAGGGTGGCCATCCACCAAACATCCACTACACCATCCATCTGGACCATCCAGGATTGCACGGCACTCATCAGTGAACAGGACTGTTTGAAAATTAGTCTTCATGTATTTTTCTGCCCAATGTAGCCGTTTCTGCTTGTGAGCATTGGTTAGTGGTGGCCGAATAGAAGGTTTATGCACAGTTGCAAGACTCTGGAGGACTCTACACCTTGATGTCCGTAGGACTCCAGAGGCATCAGCAGCTTCAAATATCTGTTTGCTGCTATGTAATGGTATTTTAGCAGCTGCTCTCTTGATCCAATGCATGGATCTGGCAGAAATCTTCCTCAATGTGCCTTTATCTGCACGAACCCGTCTGTGCTCTGAATGAGCCACAAATCTCTTAATAGTGCGATGATCACGCTTAGGTTTTCATGAAATATCTAAGGTTTTCATACCTCGTCCAACGCATTGAACCATTACACTCTTTTCGGCAGCAGAGAGATCCTTTTTCTTCCCCATATTGCATGAAAATGGTGCTCTGCTTAATAATGTGGAGCACCCTCCTCTAGTAGTTTTTCCTTAAATTGGGCTCACCTGGCAATCTAATTATCATAGGTGTCCGAGATTGTTTTCAGTGATCAAAAGAGCCCTGAGACACAATGCCATCCATGAGTTAAACTGAAAAACAAAATATTTAATCTTTGTGACACTTAAATAGAATTTGCATTATAATTTGGAACAGGTTGTATAGTAAAATATTACTTTTATTACAGTCTGCTGCTGTTGGCTCTGCCCCTGGTCTGCCAGCTTGGCTGACCTAATCAGAAGGCAATCTGAGGCAATCACAATGCTTTCCAATAGTTAGGGTTGAATTATTATTATTATTATTATTATTATGATATTTATAGAGCGCCGTCAAATTCCGCAGCGCTTTACAATGGGAATCAATGCATATCTATGAGAAAAGTTCTGTGTCCCCATGCAGAGGGTGGAGACACTGAATGGCAGTCCAGGAAGCACCCCTAGTAGCCATCTAAGGAGTGGCCAGTGGAGGTGTTACCTATGTTATATTGGAAACACTGAATTTTCTCTGAAAAGGCAGTGTTTACTGCAAAAAGCATGAGGGAATGATTATACTCACCAGAACAAATACAATAAGCTGTAGTTGTTCTGATGACGATGGTGTCCCTTTAAGTATTAGACTGTTCTAAAATTGAGGAAGTGGCTCAGTCAGGAGAAATAAAAATAATTCACATGCAAAAATTCACACAGTTGCATAATCCCTTAAAACACATAAGTACTCCTAGATACACACACACAGAAATATGTGGGTGCTAATCTGCTGCAAAAAAAAGTAAGGGGAACACGTTAATGTGGTCTGGTGAAAGGGACGTTTTCTATTTCACTAGCTGTATAGTGAATAGTGCCATAATAGGTATTGGCTGCAGCGAAACCAGAACCACTAGCGGTTTCCCTGCGTCTGTGGAATGCAAATTAAACAAACATGGTTGCTATGTGTAACGGATCACCTGGCACCCCGACTGGGTACCTCCGTTGAAGGATGCTCCTAGCGTTTCCTGAGGACTCCAAGCACTCTGGCAGACACCACAATCACCGAACAAACAAATAAATTCTCCCAAGCATATGAATGCTGTAGACAGTTGAATAGGAACCATACGAATAGGTTTACTCTCCTAGCAGTCAAACTGGAACAGCATACAATAAATCCTTCCCCCAATAATGAGACGACACTTCACTTTGAGGGTTAAAACAGGAACTCCTGTACTGTCACATACAGTCTCTTTTATTCCCAATCCACAAACATAGTACAGCCCACAGGGCGTTACAAAACAACCAATCAATCCGTACAATACACCCAGACACCCCCACACAAAATCCTCCCCTCTGCAGGTGATATGATTACTGAACACAATGGGTAATCTCATTATCACCGGCAGAGGAATACAGTTTTTACACAATATTTCTAACTTCTAAAATATACATGTCACAAACATAAAACATACATTTTCATAATCAGTCCATTCAGGGCAACAACATATTAAAAAATGGCACGAATCAGACCAGGGGTTCAAAAGTTAAGGGAAAGTCCTTTGTGACTAAATGAAGCATAGCTTTCTGGCCCAAACCAGTTTCAGAGTCTTCTATCCTGGAGAGTAATTCAATTATCTCCCAGGATAGACACAAGACTCCATTAAGCACATGGTTGCAAAAGACACAAAACACTTTAAAATACATAAAGTCACATTTACACATAACACACAGACATTTCACATATCCCCAGATAGCTGGGATCTGAGTGCACATTATTAGATGAATGGCACTCGGATCACACAAATAAGCCTTTCTGCAGGGGAAATAAACGGTTTAACCTGCAGGGCCATAGTCCAAAGGGAGCAGGCGAGCAACCAGGCTTCTCCAGTTCACAGTGGCGAGGTTGGTTTCGCCACACTATGTAAGAGACTTGAGGTGTATTGCACTACCATAGAATTGCCACAGTCTCAAATAAATCTGTACCATACTCTCTTCCACATATCATGTTATGTCTTGAATGGTAGTATGGTAGTACCTTGAAATAAAACTACCCTCTAAAAAAACTTTCATTTATTTATTTTTTTGGTGTAATTTTACCCCACTTCCTTTACACTATTTAATCTGATTTGAGAAAGAGCCTTTTTGTTTTGGGTTGTGTTTTGTTTTTAATTTGTTTCGTTTTTTTTCCTCGTTTCCTTTTCTTTAAATCAGCCATGCATTGTTGAAGTTGCACAGCTCAGATGAAGATGCTAGTGTTTTATAGATGGTTACTATAATAACCTTATGTTGTACTGTGTTATAAAGCTGTTATTGTTTTTATCAGATGCGAGTGGTGTAGAATATTACATTTTGTTGTGCAGAGTATTACATTTGTACAGTAAACTGAGAGACCAGAGCTGATTTTGTTATTCATGTGAATAAAAATATCTAACCACCAAAAGCACTCCATCTTAGTTAAGTGGTTTTGGTCCAGGACACTGTTTTCAATAGCCATGTAAACCTTTCAATTCCTCAGAAACAGCAATACTTACATTTTGCCTAAACTTCCTCTGTAGTCAGACTCACAGCCACTAGAGGTGCTTGCTCATTTGAAGGGCTACTCCAAGCATCATAACCACTACAACCTGCTGCAATAGTTATGATGGTAGGAGTACCCTGGAGCCGTTCCTTGGTTATGGTTAATATGTTTTTGCAATGTTTTGCCTTTTACCCAGCCCCCTTGCACCAGGTCTCATCTCCTGCTGCCAAATGACATCCTGTTTCATATATCAAATATCTATGTGTGCAGCGTTTCATAGTAAAATGCTGCACATACAGTCATCTTACACCATGACCTCTTCAAAACACTAAAATGGTCATGGTGCTTGGAGTTACCCTTTAAGATTTTACATTTTTGGAAGGTTTGGTATCCTCACACACAGCATGATGGGGCCAGTGCTTCTCATTGAGTGCATTAAGAAGCATTGGATTGATAAACAACGACCGATGCGCATGCACCTAATGTCCACAATCCTTCATTGACTTGGACAAAATAAATCAGAAGTGATGACTTCAATGGAGAAGAAGCCACCACTGCAATGTGTCTTTCCCAGCACTGGAATACAGGTACATTCAACAGCGTCTTTGGTTATTTTTGTATTTAAAAAAAAAATAAAAAATTTTTAACAAGGTTTGGGACATTAATCTAAACTGAAAAAGGAACACTGCATTTTTAAATTTCAGTAATGTCAGGGATACAATTTGTCACTGGTTTCTGTTGATGCAAGAAAAATGTCAGCCAGGCACTCCGGACCATGTGCAGCAGTTTTACTGGAAAACAGAATCAAAGTGCAATGCTGCTGCTATTTTTCATGCATCATTGGAATAGGGGTAGCCAGCCCCAGGTTTGGAAGCACCAGGACCTAGTATATGAGTGCGGTTTCCCCTCTTTGCGGTTTGATATACTGGTTTCTGTTATCTAAATTCACAAAATTACATTTATTTTTTATTTTTCCCACAGCCTATTCATCTTGTCCAATGAATCTGTTAATATCTGGAGTCACCTGCTGGGTTTTCTCCTATTCTTCAGTCTGGGAATTTACGATATGATGTTGGTTTTGCCATCTGTAAATGCATCACGAGAGGACTTTGTTATATGTTCCATCTGTCTGTTCTGCTTTCAAGTAAGTTTGTTAAATGTGTCCAAAACATTTATTTACTGTTTGTTTGGTTTATTTATGAGCATGGCGTGTGTTTTAATAGATACACCTCAATTGCAACTTTGTGTTGTAGACCATTTTACTAACCTGATGAAGGGAAGTGCTGCCAAGAGACATAAGCTTACATGAACCGTATGGAAACTTTAGTATTGACTTGGCCATTTCCTAGTTTTGTTAGCGCTTAATGTAGAACCTGCAACAAGTACAGTTTGAAAACTGTAACATGCATGTTCACAATATACAGGAAGGTGGAATTCCTATTGCTAGGCAGGAAGTTTGATGAGCACTAACGAGTGCCGGATCTCAAGAGAGAGATCATCATCATTATTATTATTTTGAAATTCTTTATTTTTGTTGTGCATATTGAGAAACAAGGATTGCACAGTATACAGATAGATCAAAGAGTTGGTTTGTCAGATATAACAGTTGTACATATAGATCAGCACATTTTTGAGAGAATGAGAGAAGACAAGCAAACAAGACGTAGTGTATTATGCATAAAACATCTACACAGTTTCAACAGCTATTAACTTAGTGCGTCATATTATCCCTCTATTAGCCTCCGCGCCTAGATTGGATGAGCTGACAGTGGATATGAATTTAGTGTCGTAGTAAGCAAGATAGGCATAACGTCAACATAAGGATTAATAATAGAGACACACAGGCTGGCAGTATACGCGTTGACAGGACTCATAAGTAGTGGCGTTTGGAGGTGACTGTGCAATCAGATTTTGAAGTTAAAACATTACAGGTGAAACTATAGCTATGATTGTGAATACTTATGAGCTGAAAGAGTGGATAGTTATATCTCATGCAGGCCAAATTGGTTAACGAACCACCACTACCGTCTATATGTAACAGAAATAAAATCTATTTCTCTGCGATTCAAGTGAGTGGTAATGCGTAAGTAAACAAAGTAGTGAGTAACTTGTTCTTTTTAGATGGTGTGTCCGGCACCATTTCAAGTTTGTGATTGTTATGCGTACTAGGGAAGTGTTGGAGGTATGTAGACGATGTAGTGACCCCTAACCTAGGGTGGTTGTGGGGGAGAGGGGTTAACTAAGTAGGGGGATAAAGCCCCATGTGTGTGGCTTTAGAGTGTGTGGCTTACATAAAGGAAATATGAGTTATTTACCCAATCTATGTTCATTTGTTTGGGGGCATCTGTGGATTTGTTTTTGTTTGTTTTCGATTAGTTGTTTTTTTTAGGGGGAGTGGATTTAGAGAAACACTTCACTCTCGAAAATCATTAGGGATGGAGGTGGTATAACCTCATACAACAGTCAGTCAAAGTTTTGTTTAAATATCTTCAGTTTTCAGTTCTAAAACATAGCAAAAATCACCACATTAAATAAATAGATTCTCCCATCCATTTTGCTGAAGGGCACAAGGATTAAGAGATTTTAAATGCCTCTGCCAACCTAAAAGCATTCAGTACACAGTGGTTGGGTGGCTTGTTGCGATGTGTGTAAGCTTGAGTATACAAGAAATGTATTCTGGATACTTATTCCTATTGATAAAAAATGGTCAGGGTTGTACAACAAATGGAGGTTGGTGTCACTGTAGTGCGGCTTAACCCTTATATTGACAAAAAGTATTATTAGCCAAATAAAAACTATTCACACAAACAACCATTTAAAGTCAAAGAAATCCAAAATGATATTCGTTGTAATAACTTTGCACTCTGTGCTAAATAGGAGAAAGATGGGTATCTATAAAAAGTTTGTACCAGGGTTAATCACTAAAGTGAGAATTGCAGGGAATTCAAAGTAAATTTAAAACTCAAGGTCAAAATAGCTGAACTGGAATAATTCTCCCAGTCAGCTATGCTGTCAGTTTCGGCTACTTAGGCCTTCGATTTGAAATTCGCTTTGAATTTCCTACAATTCTCACTGAATAACTCTCTGTATGAGTCAAACTGTTAAAATAAATTAAGGGGGTGGGGGGAGAGGAGAAGCCTTTATTTATGACTAAGGGAATAGGGTCTTCTAATTCTGGTAATTCCATAAGGATTTTATATTCTTTAATTTGAGACCCCAGTCGTCCCTTCTAGGGCCCTGTTTAACTAGTTAAATTCTACAAAAACAGAGACATGTATGCATGTCCTTTTTTAAAATGTTTTAACCGAGTTAATGTTCTATAATGCTCATTTTGAGTGGTCTAAAAGACATACAGTTAAAGCGGCACTGTCACCGTATGGAGACTTTGCTGCATTCACAAAGACCCACAACGGTGACGTTGGAGGGTCTGGGGGGGCAAATGGAAAAGATGAGATTACTTACCTGTCCCTCGCAGACGCCGCCATCTTTCTCGCTCTGCTCCTCTTAAAGTGCCAGGAGCCGACGTCATTGATGTATGTTTGCGCATGCGGGAGAGTATAGTATTGAGGTCTATGTGAGATCCTGTGTGACTACAAGATCCCCTATAGACACAGGCAAACCCCTGCAGCCGTCACTGATGACTGCAGTGGGAATTAATACTTAGACTCCGCGCTACGTCTAAGAAAGTCAGGCGGAGGAGAAATACAGATACAAAGTAGTCCTTACTTTGTCTCTGTATATCGCTTGACTGGGTTGGGTTAGTAAAGTGAAAATCCAACACCGTCAGAATGAGTATGTCATAATAATTCTAGATATTGCTTTTGGCTAATTCTAAAACAAGGCCCCTTACAGAAAGCAAGTTATATCTTGTCAGGCAAATATAACAGCAAAAAGGGGAAGAAGCATAAAAGATAATGTGGTGGCCATCCACTATAAGGGCATATCATCTACACACTTGGCTCTCCAAAAAAGTGCCTTGGGTGAGAATTAGCCAAAAGCAATTCCCGATCTTGTACACATGAGCCCCTCCTGAAATAACTGATTTTTATCACCAGCAGCTTTTGATTTAAATGATTTTATACATGCTATGTTATATTATTTTTGTGTGTTTTATTTTTATTTGTTTCCTTTACACTTTGGAATTTCCCCAACATCCCCTCCCTGCCATTTAAAGGGTTAAACAAATCTGTTAAACACTTACCTAATTTCAGCTCGATGTCTTTGGGTCGGGTTCCTCAAACGTCAGCCGATGGGAAGCCGCATGCACAGCGAGCACCACATACGCATTAGGCCTTCCCAATAGGAAAGCATTGACTCTATGCCTATTTTTACACTGCTTATCTAGTCAGTGGACTAAAAAAAATTAAGTTGTATAGCTTCCGTGCACTTAAAATCTTCATACAGCTACCTAGGACCCCAGTGGTTAGAGAAATGTCCACCTTAAAGGACCACTATAGTGCTAGGAAAACAAACTCATTTTCCTAGCACTATGTAGTCCTTAGGTACCCCCCACCCTTATGTCCCCCCTCCCGCTGGGCTGAAGGGGTTAAATCCCCTTCAGCCACATACCTTTCTCCAGCGCTGGGCTCCCTCGGCGCTGAGGAACTCTCCTCCTCCTGCCAACGTCAGCGCATGCGCGCGCATTGAAACTGCCCATAGGAAAGTATTACTCAATGCTTTCCTGTGGACGTCAGCGTCTTCTCACTGTGATTTTCACAGTGAGAATCGCGGAAGCGACCTCTAGTGGCTGTCAATGAGATTAACCCTCAGTGTAAACATAGGAGTTTCTCTGAAACTGCTATGTGTTTAGCTGCAGGGTTAAAACTAGAGGGACCTGGCACCCAGACCACTTCATTGAGCTTCACTCTGAAGGAAGAGAGGTTCGGCCTGCGGTGGTTGTGGCGTCAGCTAGAGTGCTTGGAATCCTCAAGAAGTGCTAGGAGCATCCATCAACGGAGGTACCCAGTCGGGGTGCCAGGTGATGCGTTACAACAACTGCCTACTGGGCGACGATAAATGCAAAAATCCAAGAGATAACAGACACGCCTTACCATGTTCTTGCACCACACGACATCCCCCTGTGATAACCTAATACCTACTAACTGCTGCAAAATCCATAATGCCATCACTATGGAAACAAACAGGTGTGCCATCCTTCCAGTAACTTTATTTCTTCTACTTAGAGATTTACTCCAACTCGTTGACTCCCCTATTTGCAGTAATGGGTCACCAATGTGCACTGTAAAGGTTATTTAATGCTTGCCACACACCGACTCGACTAACCGCTGTTAGCTTAGGCCAACAATCAGAACCTGTGGCAGACGAGGATTGGGTTTGGGAGGTATTGACAGCTAGTGGTTCCATCTCACAGAGTTTGGCCGCTAAATATGCTTGTAGACCAACTGCCAGGTAACTTCCACTGTATAAACCGAAAAAACTGTCGGAAACGACAAATAAATAAAGATTGTAAAAAATAAAAATAAAAGTTCACTTTTTTTCACTAGGTTAAAAGAAGTTCCACTGTTGAAAACTGTTCCTCTTTAATATCTGTTAGCTTTCTGACACGTGAAAAGTTCATATACTGGTGTGTGATATTACATTAGTGAATCAATTTTCAAGATTCAAAATGTTAATCACCTTGATATTCTTTATTTATTCAGAGCAGCCTGGAAGCATCCCTGCAGAGGCCCAGATGGCCAGAACAGCTGTCTGTTTGTAAATTAACAGAATGCTGACTTATTAACACAAGCTATGCTTTATGAAATTTGTTATAGATGCCATAGGGGTAATAAAGCAACTTCAAGAAGGTGAATGGAGGAAACACTCACTGTGAAAATTGTATACATACATCACTCGGCTTTGGCTGCCCATGAATAAACTGTAATACTGTGATATTCTCTGTTTTAAAGCATGTTCTGTATTAGTTGTGATCACACAAGGCAATGCCATGGAATGTTTTCGTATTTTTCATGCATAGTTAATAAAGAGGAACTGTCTTCTCAAATTACATTCTGATATAAAACATTGAAAGTCATCTGTAACTTCTGTTTTTCATGAATGTTCTATAATGGCAGTCTATGTTAAAAGATTTAGAAAATGACATCATAGTCCAGTTCAGACAAGACAAAGCCAGGGAAAACCTGAATATTGCTTCATTTCTCCTCTTCTCTGCATTCCTTGTCTGTGTTTACTGTGAAATGGTAAGGACAAAGCTTATAATGATGGCTGACATGGTGGAGCCTAGCTGCAGGATAATGAAATGTTTTATAGTGCAGGGTTTCATTGCCTTTAACTGCAAAATAACCATGTGTGTCTCGACTATTTCATTCAGATGGTCTCATAAAGACCATCTTATTGGTGCAGTGTTTTGCTCGGCACTAGCCTCCCAATGCTTTCCTATGGTTAAAGGGATACTATAGTGCCAGGAAAACAAACTTGTATTCCTTGCACTATAGCTACCCTCTCCCTCGCGGCCCCCCCTAAAGTCGCCTAGCAGCTGGAAGTCCCTCTAGTGGCTTTCTAGTAGACAGCCACAAGAGGTGGAGTTAACCCTGAAAGGTAATTATTGCTGATTCTTAAAAACTGCAAAAATTACCTTTGCAGGGTTAAGAGACTTGGGACTATGCACCCAGACCACTTCAATGAGCTGAAGTGGTCTGGGTGCCTATAGTGTCCCTTTAAGCATTACTTTGGCTGTGATTATTAACATTAATGAACTTAGCCAACAAATCTGGGCTGGCCACAGGATACACATTTTTATATTTCACATCTCACAAATACATTTTTGCTACTTATATGTACATAAAAGTAATAATAATAATATTAATAAATTAACAAGAAAACTGAAGAGTGGTAGTTCCCCTTTAAAGAAACACTGTAGACCCTGTGGTAGGCAACTTCTCCTCTGATGCTTTGCCAGCATTATGGCTGTAAGAGCATTATGAGAGATCACAACATCTGGAGTGCCAAAAATTGTGTACCCCTGTGTTAGGCATCAAAAGCATTACAGCATTTTTGGGTGTATTCCCTCTGGTCTTTGTCAAACTGTTTTCAAGTACTTTGACAAGAAAGAGGCCCTCCTAGCACCCATTCTCTCAATCACTGGGAAGCCCAGGGATAATGCAGAATTTTACTTTCACGCCATCCTTACAAATCAGTGAAAATCTGAACAGCAACAAAGCTTCGATACCGATCATTCTGTTGGTTTTAACCCATCAGTAAAGGATAAATAAACATTAAAATAATATAAATCTGAAGTAACTTTTAAAACCTGAAACCTTACTAAATAAAAAACAAAGAAATCACTATACTGAAAACTGTTATAACATGAATGATAGTGGAGTATTTTTTTTTTGGGGGGGGGGGGCGTTAAATATTACTACCCCTTTTTGGCTGTCTGAGCTAGCATTAAAGAGTTCCCTCTTTTATTACCCTGGTTGTGGGATAAAAAGGAGATTCGTGGGGTAAGTTTCATGGTCTATAGTGCAAGCTTCACCGCTAAGCTCTGAGAAGCCGGCCGCACAGCTGTCGCTCCACCAGCAGGTTATAGGAAGCAGGTGACAGCCCTGCCTCAGGCTTCAAAGTCTTTGGAGATTGGCAGTGTGTGAGCATCAAGAGCCTGGAAACACAATCCATTAAGTCCTGAGTGGGTGGAGTCTGCCATATACAACCGAAACCATCTAGCTGTCAATCATTTAACAGACTGAAGGACTGAAGTAGTTATACTTTGTTTTTCTGTTTTGTTTTCTTGTTTAGTTTTTTTGTGGAGGTCCCTGTGTTTTCTTTGATTTAAAACAGATTAAAATGGAATGTTAGAAATGCAGTCTTAAAACGTAATATGTTTGTTTTTCAGTTTTCTTATTTTTTTCCATTGAATGTATTGTACCATAAATCCTTGTGTTTGTAGGTCTGCATGCTGTGCTCCGTAGGTTATCACCTATTCTGTTGTCACCGTTCAGAGAAAACTAGCCGTCGATGGATGGCGTTGGATTATGCAGGCATTTCAATCGGCATCCTGGGCTGTTACGTCTCTGGAGTATTTTATGCTTTCTACTGCAACAATGTAGGTAACTTATTATATTTTTTGTAGTATTATTATTATTATTTTATTTTTTTCTCCATGTTTACTAAGCGAAGGAAACTACATTTCCTGGTTCAGACCAATGAAGCTATCACATTGGATTTCAGTAGTGCCCCAGGCAAGGTTTTATTTTGTATTCTCCAGACCTTGAGTCTTATTTATCTTGCTAATGAGCACTGTTGGGAGCTGAAGTCCACATAATTTACATGAGTGAATTTCCATATTAAAAATAATGAGTGAAGGGACATTTGAACTCCTGGCTTCTGTGCGTCCTGTTTGAACACGCTTTGCCAACTGCGGCTGCAGCCTGAGAGCTTACACAGCAGTACTTCAAAAAGAGTCTTTTGTGGGACGGAAAGAGAAATGCCAACTGAGCCATTTGGGGTTCATTAGCTGGAGTTTTGATCGGGGAATTGAATGGATCAGTGGACTGTCATTGAATTTCCGAACCTATTATCTTTAAGTTGTTACTGTTTTTATTTTAACCCTTAATATTGCAACTCTGGGTTTTATCAAATGAGTTTATACAGAACTCGTTAACCAAATGCTGAACTAGCGGCTCAAGTGTTTAACGACCCCTTTTACTGTTTAGAATGTATTGGCAAATGTTCAGATTTTTAAAGAACCCAGCGAGGCACGAATCTGTGATGCCAGTCAGTCATAAAAGTGCTAAAAGCATAAAACGAATGTGCAATACTAAGCAACTCTGTAGTCCATAAACTAGCCCTATAGTCTCATGGTTAAATCCTCCTTTTTAAGCATCCGCATCTTTATTTTTTATGAGTTATTATTATGATTTATGATAAATATAGTAAATTAAAAAAAATATTTTTATATTAATCCTCAGATTACAGTTACTTCTGGAAAATTTAGATTTCCAGATACTGAATAATTATTTACATTCGAATAATATTTTCTCTGTGCAATGCTTAATGTGTGTTCCCTTTAGCTATATGTATCTATGTGATTTTACCATTTCTTTATTTGATCATTTCCAGTTATTTTGAATTAATTCAGTCTCTTAAAGCTGATTGTGTATAGATGAAATAATAATCAATTATAGGTCGTAATTGCTTGATTGACAGGGCTTCTAGGCAGAATCTCAGGCTTCACTTTAAATACTTATTTTGTTACACTGAAACATGATTAAATGGTGATGATGCAGGTATGGCATCCTAGCACAAACATAAATTATTATTGCCATTTATATAGCGTGAACAGATTCCGTAGCACTTAATTATCTATATTAATCTATAACCACTACAATGTGATGATAAATATGGCAAGATCAGGTAATAGTTTATGGGGGGAATGACATCCAATGAAATTGCTTTTGCATTAAACATTCCAATTTACAAAGAGGAGTCTTCTTTCTGTTCTACAGTACTGGCGCCAGGTATATTTAATCACTGTACTAGCCATGATCCTGGCAGTATTCTTCGCTCAGATTCACCCAAGCTACCTCACACAACAATGGCACAGGCTCCGTTCTGTAATCTTCTGCTCGGTCTCTGGGTATGGCATCATTCCTACAATCCACTGGATTTGGCTAAATGGAGGCTTAGGAGCTTCCATTGTTCAGGTAGGTAAAATTGAGCAGTTGTTGCAGATCTTTGCAGTTTTAACATTAAGTTATATTAATACATTATTGATGCAAAAGTGTCAGAAACAAAATGCTGACTACATTTTAATGCCTAGGTAAATATACAGTTAGGTCCAGAAATAATTGGACACTGACACAAGTTTTATTATTTCGGCTGTTCACCATAATAATTTCAACACCGTTAAATAATGGATATGGGCCAAATTGGAGGAATTACAGCTCTTTAATATGTAGCCCTCTCTTTTTCAAGGGACCAAAAGTAATTGGACAAAAAAGATTTAAAAAAAAAAACTCAAAAGCTGTTTCATGGACATGTGCAGGCTAATCCTTCATTATTTTTTCATCAGTTTAGCAAGTAAAAGGTCTGGAATGGATTCCAGGTGTGGTATTTGCATTTGGAAGCTGTTGCTGTGAACCCATGCGGTCAGTGAAGCTCTCAGTGCGATCCTTAGGCTGCAAAAAAAAAAATCCATTAGAAAGATACCAGGAACATTAGGAGTCGCCAAATAAACCGTTTGGTACATTCTGAGGGAAGAAAAACACAAAAAAGCCTGGACGTCCACAGCAAACAGTGGTGAATGATAGTGGGATCCTTTCCATGGTAAAGAAAAAGCCATTCACATCCAGCCAAGTGAAGAATACTCTCCAGGAGGTAGGCATAGCATTACCATAAAGAGAAGACTTCACAAGAGCAAATACAGAGGGGGGGTTCACCACAAGATGCAAACCATTCCTCAAGAATGGAAAGTGCTGATTAGACTTTGCCAAAATAAAAAAAATAAAAAAAAAAAGCCAACCTAGAACAGCATTCTTTGGACAGATGAAACCAAGATCAACTTGTATCAGAATGATGGTAAGAAAAAAAAAAAGTACGGAAAAGGGTTGGAACAGCTCATGATCCGAAGCATACCACATCATCTGTAAAACATGGTGGAGGCAGTGTGATGGCATGGGCATGCATGGCTTTCAATGGCACTGGGTCTCTAGTGTTTATTGATGATGTGACAGAAGACAGAGGCAGCCTTTATTAAGTGTATAGGGATATATCTTCTGCTTGGATTCGGCCATATTTAGCGAGTTGACTGGATAGCGCTTCACTTTACAGATGGACAATTACCCAAAACATACTGCGAACGCAATCTAGGAATTTTTTAAGGCAAAGAAGTGGACTATTCTGCAATGGCCAAGGCAATCACCTGATCTCAACCCAATCGAGCATGCATTTCACTTGCTGAAAACAAAACCTAAGACTGAAAGAACCACGAACAAACTACTGAAGACAGACCTGTGAAATTATCGCAAACGAGGAAACCCAGCATTTGGTGATGTACACAAATTTCAGCAGTTATTGCCTGCAAAGGACTCTCGAAATAGTATTAAAGATTTTTTTAACATTTTATTTATGATTGTATGAATTACTTTAGAACCCCTGAAATAAATGGGCTGTGTATGAAAAATGGTTGCAGTTCCTAAACGTTCCATACAATATTTTTGTTCGACCTCTCAAATGTCTGCTCTTCAGTTACATCTTGGTTTTTTCATTTCAAATTAATTGTGGGGGGTGTACAGAGCCAAAATTAGGAACATTTTATTTCAGAAACGAACTATACAAATAAAGCACCAAATTGAGATTCTAAAAAATGTAACATACCATACAAATTAAAATGTACATTCGTGACAGTTCTATGATCTATATATGATTTAAAATATTATTCCCACTTAAACTTATTATAGACCGATATTATTGGTCTGCTTTGCAGTTTAGTCTAGAATAGTGGTGGCTAACCTTGACACCCTAAATTGTTTCTGGACTACATTTCCCATGATGCTCAGCTAGCTTTTAGAGTCTAAAAGCTAGCTGAGCATCATGGGAAATGTAATCCAGAGACAATTTATGGTGTCAGGGTTAGCCACCACTGATCTAGAAAAATGTTTCATGTTAATCTTCCTATGCCATACAGATATTAAAGCTGCTCCCTGTCCCCCAGGGCAGCATGGCTTTATGGGTAGAGCCAGACAATTGAAGTTCATTTATTAGCTACCTACTTTGTTCAGATAGTATATATGTCCTGATATGTCTGTTACAGTGCTTATGTTATGAAAATATTGCGTTTTGTTTTATTTTGTGTTCCTGCTTTTTCCTTACTATTGCAGGAGTTTGCTCCACGTGTAATTGTTATGTACATGATTGCAGCTTCAGCCTTCCTATTCTACATTTCTAAAGTTCCAGAAAGGTATTTTCCAGGTAATCTATTTGTGAGAGAGTTATTTGCTATATAGTGATCATGTAAAATATAAGTTCCAAATCAATTGTGTTTCAAGCTCATCTGTTCTAGCATACATTTGCAGTTGCCTTATCAGTTCACTACAATTACTTTCTTTGTGAGTCTCCACATAGAGATTGAAGTTTAATTATACATTTATTTCAAAGCACGACATCACAATCAGAACTACACAGAAAACAATAACTGAGCCAGTATCAAGGATAACAGAGAACAGGAATAACCAGTGCTAGCCGTTCCAATAATCAAAAAAACAACAGTTTAAATAGACACTATAGTCACCAGAACAACTACAGCTTAATCTAGTTCTGGTGAGTATAATCATTCACTGCAGTGTAAACACTTCAGAGAAAAGGCAGGATTTACAGTTCCCTTTAGGGACACCTCCAGTGGCCACAGAAGGTGCTAACTGTGTGCAGCACTGCCGTTCAGCGTCTCCATGCTGAACCTTCCTCATAGAGATGCATTGATTCAAAGCATCTCTATGAGGAGGTGCTGATTGGCCAAGCCAGCGTTTGGCCCTGTCCCGCCTACCCCCTAGGGAAAGCATTGGATTGGCTGAAATCGTAAATTCTGATGTCAGCAGGAGGCGGCAGATCTGCCTGGAAATAAGGTAATATTATTAATGTAAAATATTACCTTTTAAGGGGGATTCAAGCCACCAAAATGGGTGTTTTAACAGTAAAGGGTCAGGAATACATGTTTGTGTTCCTGACCCTAGTGTTCCTTTAATGAAATAACGTGCTTAATTTCTGTAGGAAGCACCCAGTCCACTGTGTCTTGAGTTATACAGGCTTTGGATTTTGTAGCAAATTAAGTTAATTCAGCTGTGTCAGAGAATACATTTTTGAAGGCAGTTGAGCATGGCAGAATTAACATAAGCCAGACCACTTAGAAGGTGAGGTGGAGCTGACACGAGCAGGTATAAAGGTGGCTTGGATAATCCAAAAGTGTGTAAGCACCAGGGACCTCTTGGCACAATAACAACTTTATTTCAATTAAATTGGCACATTATTGGCACAATAACAACTTTATTTCAATTAAGTTATGGTGCCCGGAGAATCCCTTTAACATCCTTAAACCATAGACCCAACCTTTGTATTAATGGTTTTTAAAACTGTGTTGCAGGAGAAGAGAGAAAATTCTGGATAGTTCCTCTAGGGAAATTACTTCTGCCCTATGTTCCCGTGGAGGAGTCAAATGTGTATTCAAAACATATTTATATTAATATATGATCAAATGATGACAGTTTTGTTTTTATTTGCAGGTCAGCTGAACTACCTGGGTTCAAGTCACCAGCTGTGGCATATACTTGCAGTTGTCATGCTTTACTGGTGGCATCAGTCTACAGTGCACATCATGCAGTACAGGCATAGCCAACCTTGCCCAGCGTATGCAGAAAATGTGTGATTAGAGGTACGTGAAATACATGGTATGCTATTAATCAAAGCTATAGATGTTCCATGTTTAAAAGATAAGCACACTTCTTTTCTAGAAATACATATTAGTTACATTAAGCAGTAAACATTAGTTCATTTTTTGGACTTACTTTCCCTCTTCATATTCAGGAAAAGCACCCGACACTCCTCGAAAAGAAGTGAAAAATAGAACTGCTCTATAAATCTTTTGAACAGAACTTTTGAATATTTGAGAGACACACCCTGCTTCAACATCTGGCCTTACATAGGGCAGGGTAGGCAACCTTTGACAATCTGGATTTTGTGGACTGCATCTCCCCTAATGCTTTGCAACCATTGTGGCTGTAAGAGAATTATGGGAGATGTAGTCCACAACAACTGGAGTGCCAAAAGTTGCCTACCCCTGCTCTAGGCATGAAAAGCATTACTGCATATTTGGGTGTACTCTCTCTGATCTTTGTCAAACTGTTTTCATTTAGTTTGAGAGAATGAGCCTTAGGCACTAGGAGAGCCCCTTTCTTGTCAATCACTGGGAAGCCTGTGGATAATGCAAAATTTTACGTTCAAAAGTTAAGGACTAGTCTGAGATCCTTAACCCTACCATATAATATTTATATGTCCATACATTCTTTACATGTTTTTCTTTCAGTTTTTTGTTTTTTTTATCTCTTTCATGGAGATTTTCGGGATCCAACATGAAGACTTCAGAAGCCATGGACATTTCCGAGGTTCTTGTTTCAGTGACATGTATACATGGATTTGTCGTCGTACTATAATCATTACGGAACCTCCTAGAGGAATCAGAGACGAATATGTTATTTCTTGTATTGATGTGGCATTCTGAAGTCGCTGAAGACTGATTTTCTTCTGTCCTTTGTGAACTCTCTTGGAGAGATTAAACTGTTTACTTTTGTACAGCAAGAATCTGTGCAGTACATGCAAAACTACAATCTTGTGTGTCAGAAAATCTAATGCATAACGCTGGCCCATGTCTGTTCAAACATTCCACAAACTGCTGTTGACTGTCAGTCTTTACCATTGAATCATACAAGACAAGTGCCTCCCAGACTTGTCTTCATATGGTATGTATATATGTATTTACCAATTTTAAATTGAGAGAGGCATTTGTGCTTGTTATTTTGGGGTGTTTTGCACTCCTATGTACACCAAATGTATACAGCTTCCCTATTGCAATATATTTTATGTATAGACCTACTAATGGGAAGTAATAAGTTAAATCCAATAAGCTTCCATTGGGAGTGGAGGGGAGAGAGTGAGTGTGTGTGTGTGTGTGTGTGTGTGTTATGTTCCTCTGCCTTGTAAATCTCATTGATGTCTATTCTTCTAGGTAATTTTTGATATACATATTGTACCAGCCATGCTACTATCATACTTACAGATGGTGAAGTATTTGTGTTCTTCCACTTTTGTAGCACTGTGTCAATGATTCTATTATTGTGTACTACTATTATTATGGCAAATTAGAATACATGTATAATAGCCTATTTGTGCATTAATGCATCACCCAGCATATTTAAAGAACCAGTTTAGACACCATAACAACTTTAATATACTTGAAGTTGTTATAGTGCCAATAGGCCTCCAGACGCACTCTTACCTCAAGGGGTTAATCCGTTTAACCCCAAGTTGCCTTCAGCACCAATCTCCCCCAATCTCCCCTCCCCCCAGGCGGCATATAGTTTCTAAAATTTCAGTTTCAGGAAGCGCGGCTCTCTGCTAATCAGTAACTCCCCATTCACAAAACTTGGCTTGAAAAGGTACGTTTCTTCCCAAACCAGTTTTGTGAATGGGCACTTAAAGGAGACATTTCCGTTAAAGTAAACAATACAAATTAATACAAACGTGTCAAAAAATTATAAGATTGTATGAGTGTAGGCAAGACGGCTAGCACGTTATGCAGGTCTCTTAGCAGAGGTGAATTCAATTTCCTCACTTTAATTTATATTTTAAATTGTATTCACTGCTTTTGTTTTTTTTTGTTTTTTGTCCTTGTCTTTTCTACCCATCCTGAAAATCTCCTTTTTAATCATTAAAATACACCTGTCATCCATAAGTGTTTGGTTGACAAGATCTGCTTCGGGGAGAAAGTTTAATCTGTGTTATAGCCAAATAACTGGCAGATCTACTGACACTGTTTACTTGCACTTTCAATGCTGCACATGCAACGTGATTTTTGTCCCTGAAAGAGTAATACTGTACACTGTTTTTTGTTTGTCTGTTTTCCCTTCCTCCTCGCGATTGATGCACCTGGAATCAAATGCATTGGGCTTTTATCACTTTCCAGATTTCTGTTGCTTTGTAGTGCTAAGCATATCTTCATTTTAGCCCACTACACCAATTCTTCTTCTGACTCCATAAAATGTTTCCCTGTACCGTCCCTAGCAAAATATCCATTTCTACTTCTGTTCAATTATTACAGTTTTGATGATGGTGTGATTAAATTGTTTTAATTGTCATTATGTCACTTTACAGAAACCAAAATTGATGACTCCATAAATTGGAATTGGGGATATTTCTTGAATACAGTTTTTTTGGAAATCTTGTATTAGGGGAACTTCCTGAACCTGGTGGTTTTTCACCCTCCCCTCCTCTTTTATCGAGTACATGCAGATTATAGGTTCTAGCTATGTCATTTTGGGTTTCTTCCTTGCTAACCATTAGATTTCACAATTACCTGCTGAGAGTAAGATGAAGACTTTAGTGCTATAAGGACTGCTTTTAAGGACAGTTTTACTGTAATCTCTTGTTCTAATAATGAAAGTGAGTTTGTTTTTAATTCAGTGCACAAAACCATTTACTTGTTGGTATTTTTATTTTATTGAGTATTGTTTCTTTTATCTTCGTAATTTAGTTTGTGGTCCTGCTAGTGTTACATAGGCTGCAAATATCCATTCTTAATGCATCCATTATGAAGCTGTTGCCCCACATTTAAAATTATATCATGTTTTTGCAAGTATTCTTCCGTTACTGTTTAAACATCTGTGTAGACTGATAAAACCACGTCTTCAGGCAGAGAATTCCACATCCTTATTGTTCTTACTGTAAAAGCATACATTTTACTTGCCTTAAATTGATTTTTCCTTAGGATTAGAGACAGTGCACTACAACTGGGATATCCTCTAATCTGGATTGAGAAAGACAGCCAGACTCCTAAACATTTAATTGGTTAGTTCCATCCCCTAACTCCTCCTTCCTGTGGTATAATATATATATTTAATACTTTATGTTGAAAATAATGTAATAAATACAAAAACAAAATAAATGTAAATTACAAAAAATAAAGGATTTAAAGGACCACTATAGGCACCCAGACCACTTCAGCTCAATGAAGTGGTCTGGGTGCCAGGTCCCTCTAGTTTTAACATTGCAGCTGAACACATAGCAGTTTCAGAGAAACTGCTATGTTTACACTGAGGGTTAATCCAGCCTCTAGGGCCGTCTCTCTAACAGCCACTAGACGTCGCTTTCCGCAATTTACACACAGTAAATAGCACTTATTTGCCGCTGGACGTCCTCACAGAGTCCAGCGTCAAAAAAGATCCACATAGGAAAGCACCGAGTAATGCTTTCCCAAGGGCGGATTTGATTGCGCATTTGGCTCCACTCGGAAGCTGACGTCAATGGAGGAGAGGTCACCAGTGCCCGGCGCTGGATTAAGGGAAGCAAAGAATGGTTAATTAACCCTTTATTCGCCGCAGAAAGGGGGGCCCTTGTCAGCTAGATGGTGATTAGGGCTGTATAGTGTTAGGAATACATATTTACATTCCTAACGATATAGTGTTCCTTTAACCCCTTAAGGACACATGACCTGTGTGACATGTCATGATTCCCTTTTATTCCAGAAGTTTGGTCCTTAAGGGGTTAAGTGCAATACCTAGACCTCTCCTTATTTAGGAAGACACCTCCATTCTGAAGCATCTGATTGTGGTCTATTCTTATCCAATAAACTTTTGCCTGGCAGGTTTTATGATGTTTTAGGAGATAAGTAGTTTATCACCCAACAGCAGTTCCACTCGTCAATTAGCATCAGTGGCTGCTATCCGTTTACACATAACTCGGTCTGTAATGTATTACATTTTTTTTAGTTGCGGTGTTTTTGGTTTTTGTTTTTATGGATAAACTCCAGGCACTCTTTATTACCTTTTATTTTATGTATTATAAGATGTTAAAGGGAAACTATAGAGCCAGGCCCCTCCCTACTCCATTACAATATTTGATCAGCTCAACCAGAGTTCTATTCTTCTAGTCAGACTTCAAAGGTTACTTGCCTCTTCATACCTGAAGAATGCATGGCACATACACCAGGAATGAATATCTACTCGCCTGGACTGAATTTGCATTCACTAGTGGCAAATTAAAATGTTGAGTCGTGACTTTGTCCAATTTTACTTCATTAAAGCTTCTCATGAAGAAATTAGATGCAGTTATAGCGTTATTCAATCATTGCAGATGAAGGGTGTCTTTATGCCTCTAGTAAAAGTATATGACAAGATTCAATGCAAATTAAGATTATTAGAACACAAACAATTTTCTAATATAGTGTTTGTTTGTTTTTCTCATGAATTAAAAGGGTCTGTCTAATGCATTTATTTTTGTCTTTTTTTTTTTTTTTTCACTTCTCTGATCGTTCTAGTTTAATTAAAGAGACACTGTAGGCACCCTAACCTTTCTTCTCATTGAAGTGGTTAAGGTGAAGTCCCCAAGTACTGTCCTTCCATTCAGTGTTTAATGGTAAACGAAAGTCCCCAGTATACTGTCCCCACAGGGCTGCACTGGCTAATGGGGTAACATTGGCATGAGCAGCAATGGGTGGTAGTGATTTGTGAGTGTCAGCTGACCATTGGTGGTGTTAATTAATATGGATAGAAGAAGTTGTTTAAATTTCCCTTAGCTATACCATTGGGGGCATGGCTGTGGGTGGCACAGAACTTTCATTCAATGTTGAACTGCTCAAAAATTTAATTTTTTTGATAGTATGTTTACCATAATTGAAATAATTTGAAAAAACGAACATGGTAACAGCTACTTGCATTTGGTTTGGACATCTAGTCATAACTTTTGTGACAGCTTCTATCTGAAACTCCATTATTTTATAAAGCTTCAGGGACTAGCCTATGGGCTGGGTCCTCTGAAGTTCTTAGCTTTTAAATGTTCTTTTTAATTTAGTATTATGCCTTATTTACCTGTAATTCTTTGTGGTCATGGTTGAAATGGCTCTATGTGCCTGTTATAGAGTCAGAAGTTGGAACGTAACACTTGGCTATACAATGCATTGCTAAAGAATTAATTGAACATGTCTCTATAATTATAATATTGTTTATGAAAATAATCTATTTTCTGCAGACTGTGGGTCCGACTGCACGCTTATCTTTGGTCATTGTAATGTTTGCCTCAATGTAAAAAAAAATTATATTCATTTTATATGAATAATTTAAATAAAGTCACTTGTAAATTCCACAATTATATCACTATAGATTTCAATAGTTTCATATAGGGGTTTATTCACTAAATTGGAATTGCAGAGAACTGATAAAAGAATTGCAAAGTTTAGACTTGTATACAGGACTAAATACATTTCTAAGTTGTGGTGTGTTTTTTTTATTTATTTTATTGAATTTTACCCATGTTGGCCTAAATGAGCACTTTCCTTGTCAGCTCTTAATAATCCCTGATTTTTTAAATAAACCAACAGTGTATTTCACTCAGTATTCTATCAACATTGGGACCATTATCCCAGGACAGTACTCAATGAACGTCTGGTTCTGTGCAGAAAATACTTTCGTGTTGGTGTATCTAGCATTTAAGACCTCCATACACTATTGTTAACTTCAGTTCTAAGTTCTAACCTTTCTATGTCATTGTCTTCTTTTCTTTTTACATGTGCATTTGATGGCAGAATATGTATATTGTGCAATGCATTTAGCCTTAGACTGTTAGTAACAATTCTAAAAATGCTGCTTAAAACAAACTATTTTGATTATTTTTTTTCCATTTCATTTAAAAATGTGAAAGTGTGTGTGATACTTTGAGATTTTTACTAACATGCTACTGTGTTCAAGATAATAAATAATGTCCATTTGTTTTACATCCAGGAACTGGTACATTGTGTAATTGCAATGCTTATTAATTCCAGTGTACTATCTTCCAATTAATATTTTTATAAATATTTAAGTTTATTTATGTACGAATTTTAAAAAAGTGTACATTAAATGTATTTATGGAATGAATTAGAGGCATGTTAATTTTTTTCTATTTATGTGGTACTTGAAATGCTCAGATGTCAAATATTTAAACAGAGGAATGCTTAAAAAATAATAAACTTGGCCTCTGTGTGCTTTACTATTTTTTAAATTTAATTTTTTTTTTTTAAAGCATTCATTTAATGTGTGAATAAAATGTGAAGATATACAAGGCCCAGTACGCAATCAAACACCCAAAAATCCAAATATATGTACCTTACAAAAATGTGTCTGTACTTCAAAATCTTATATCATCATGTGGGGAAAAAAATAGAATATAGTTTAGTTGAGATCACCGCAGCGTATTGTGTATATGGAGATTTTGTGCTTTCCCCAAGCTTTACGGAGACTTGTGTGGTGGTCCTATAGAGGTTATAAGGCTCTCTTATTCTGTTACTTGTGTGTGTCAACTTACCTGAATTATTGAGGAATCTACTATGTTTGTTTTTATTGTTTATTTCAACTTGAACCTGGTTACATGAAAATAATACTGTGGCATGTTTTGCCTCCTCAGTATTGTAGGAATAATTTTTGAAAAAATAGTGTTATGCCCATTGAGCATAATTTAGTATCGCCTATTGCAATTAAATGTGATTTGTGTAGTGCATATATGCATTGGTCACTTAGTAGAGGAATGTGCTAGGTGTCAGATGCCAGAGAAAGACTTGCAAAGTGAATTCTTCCATTGATGCCTGGCTCTCAATGGTGTCCCTCTATTAGGTGTGAAATTTTACACACACAAACACTGCCCTTATCTTTTTCTAAGACATGATTACTGCACCCCATTTGCAAGACCAGTGGTTCCTTCATAGACCATCCCTTTTGGTCAAGTTTTCTCACGCATAGAGAATATATTTTGTCTGCATTGGAATTTCAGTGAAACAATAATTCTGGATGGGGGTGATAGAGAATCTTATTAGTTGTGGGGGGGTTTTTTGTTTGTTTTTTAAAATATGGAATATGGGTATGACACATACAGGGTATGGGCTTTGGGAAGAGAAGGTGGAAAGACTTTAAACCTGCTTTAAACAGGTAATTGAGCTGTAACATAATTGGCTTGCATAGCCCTAGATTCCACGTTAAAGGTACACCATGCACCAATTAACTTTAATAATAGAGATCGGAAAGTTTCTAGCGCTTGTTGTAGAAGGCAGCTTGAAACACCCCAAACCAGAGTCCCTCCTATTTGGTGAGTAATATAGATGGAAAGAGGGGAACAGTGCCTTGATGTGGTCTTTAAATCCAGGTCTGTATGAAACAAAAAGAGAACAAGCAAAAGGAAATATTGTGTAGATTAGAAATTATTTTATTTTACAAAACAGAAATTATATTATTATACATTCTGCTGGCAATTTTACTTATCTATACTCTCATAATGCATTCAGTGTCTTAAAGGACCACTCTAGGCACACAGACCACTTCAGCTTAATGAAGTGGTCTGGGTGCCAGGTCCAGCTAATGTTAACCCATTGTTTTATAAACATAGCAGTTTCAGAGAAAATTATTAATGGGTTAAGCTTTCCCCCAAAGCCTCTAGTGGCTGTCTCATTGACAGCCACTAAAGGCGCTTGCGTGCTTCTCACTGTGATTTTTTTTGTAAATGCTTTCCTATGCGACCGGCTGAATGCGCGCGCAACTCTTGCCACGCGTGCGCATTCAGCCGACCGGGCGGAACGGAGGAGGAGATCTCTCCGCCCAGCGCTGGAAAAAGGTACGTTTTTACCCCTTTCCCCTTTCCAGAGCCAGGCGGGAGGGGGTCCCTGAGGGTGGGGGCACCCTCAGGGCACTATAGTGCCAGGAAAACAAGTATGTTTTCCTGGCACTATAGTGGTCCTTTAACAAATACATATAAGCAGTTTTGTTAATCTATTTTGCCGCTACTACTGTTTGTGGGGGGGGTGTGTTTTTTGCTTTTAGACTAAAATTTCAGACTATGTGCATGATATTGCAAGGTAAAGGACACTGTATACAGTCTAAAGTTTTAATTTACCAAACATTTGTATCAAGGCTGAATGTTTAAGTAAAAAATAAGTGTCCTTTTACATCATTAATTTTTTACATTTGTCTACAAGCATTATGTACACAAAATTGATGTTATATGTATATGCTAGCTATGCATCCCTTGTTTCAAATCATGTTATGCTAACTTTTTTCCTTTTCAAACGAAAAAAATTAAAATGAAGTGTTCAGCAGTGAATTGGTTACAAGGGACACTATAGTCACCAAAACAACTTTAGCTTAATGACGCAGTTTTGGTGTATAGAACATGCCCCTGCAGCCTCACTGCTCAATTCTCTGCCATTTAGGAGTTAAATCACTTTGTTTATGAACCCTAGTCACACCTCGCTGCATGTGACTTGCACAGCCTTCCTAAACACTACCTGTAAAGAGTCATCTAACGTTTATCCTTTCTATATTGCAAGTTCTGTTTAATTTAGATTTTCTTATCCCCTGCTATGTTAATAGCTTGCTAGACCCTGCAAGAGCCTCCTGTATGTGATTAAAGTTCAATTTACAGAGCAAGAGATAAAATTGTTTAAGGTAAATTACATCTAATTGAAAGTGAAACCAGTTGTTTTTTTTGTTCCCATGCAGGCTGTGTCAATCATAGCCAGGGGAGGTGTGGCAAGGGCTGCATAAACAGAAACAAGTTGTCAGGGTCCCGCGGGCGGCTGCGAGGGGAGGTTGCAGTCCGCTCGCGGCACTCACCCTCCAGCCGTCCGCGGTCCCCCTTCAGCCGTGTGCTCGGCGGGCGGCACCCTCTCTCCCACGGGTGCCGTCCGCCTCTTCCTCTGTGTCTCCCAGCGGCAGCATGTATGACGCTGCACGCTGGGAGACCGCCCACTTTAACCAACGCCGGGGTCAGTCACCTGACCCGGCGTTAAAGGCACAGTGCCTCAATCACAGTGGGAGGTTTAGATATCTCCCACGTGTGATTGTTAATTCTGATTGGAAATTATCCAATCAGAATTAACCTTTGGATTTATATACTTACCTTTCCTGTTCCTCTTCGCCCTGTTGTGGTCTTTGCTTGTTAGTATTGATTCTGAACTTGTGCTTCTGGTTACGTACTCTCTGGCTTGTTATCCGACTCTGTGACTTTCTCCTACCCTTTGACCTCGGCTTGTTTCACGTTATTCTGTCTTCTGGTTCCCCTTACTCGGCTTGTTTCCTGACTATTCTTTGTGTGCTTAGCCCGGCCACTCTAAGGTCCGGTACGGCACTTTGTGTGTGTGTGTGTTGGCGTGTTTGGTTCCCCGAATCGTGACACAAGTGATTTAACTCCTAAATGGCAGTGAATTGAGGAGTAAAACCTGAGAGGCATGATCCATACACCAAAACTGCTTCATTAAGCTAAAGTGGTTTTGGTGGCTATAGTGTCCTTTTAATGAGGAGGAACCACTGTATGATCCTTTTTCTCCCCACAGGGAGTAACTTACAGGCTCCCTCGTGTAAAATTCTTAGGAATGCCCAGCTCCCTGGTATATAATTAAGAAAAATATATCAAATCGTAAGGCCCAACTCACCCCAATAGTGCCAGAGGATGCCCAGTCCCCATGACACTCTAAGAAAAAACATTAAATATGTATGCATCGAGAAACGTGTGCTTTACCTGTTAATAAGGGGAAGCCAAATGTGAAACTCTTTGTAGTAGTACACTAACAATCAGGCCCTGACAGATTACCCCTACTGTTAAGAAACTTGATCATCCAATGCCCTTGTAACCCTTATCTTCTGCCTTTTAAAATTATTATCCTTAAAAAAATAATAATACTTTTCCTGGCTAATCATGGCAGCTCCTCCCTTAGTTGTCACAGGACAGGTAAATTAGAATAATTAATTAGACTGATAGGTATAGAGAGTCCCTCCTCCCCTTACACCACAGTCTTTTTTCCTGTTCCTAGCTGGTTCTAGAGGCCTTAAAAATATGTTTCTTTTTTGACCATCTTCCTGCGTTTGTCGTGGGTTATTCCCAAATGAAGTTCAGCCTCTCTTCATTTGATGAACCCAGTAAACAGCCTTGACTAACTGGGTTAGGATCAGCATATGTACTGAAATGCTACATGGGATGAAAATGGTGTTCTGAGGGAGACACGTCTTTAAGGTAAAATATTGGGGTTGGATCTCCTTAAAAATTTCCCCTTATCCATTACCCCTATGGATGGGGCCTAATGTCCCCTACAGGAGGCAGTTGTGGAGCCATACATGTTTATGGGGTCCACCTTTGGAGGAAACCCTTTTTCTTTATTGCCGTTTCCTATTTAGACTTGTGGGTTCTCTATGTGCCTGCAGACAGTAAGGATTAATCTCTTTTTATTTGCCTTTAAGTTTGGTTCCTCCTAAGGAACCAGAGGGGAGTGTAGCCGTCTGTGTCTTACACTCTCTAAGGCCGGAGATGTCTCCTACCGGGAGGCAGTCTCCAGTGGAACGCGGCTATCGCTGTCTACTTATGTGCAATCGGAAGTGACGCGATTAGTCGCGCGGGTGATGATGCAATCTGTTTGGAAAGCATGGCGTGCGTTCCAAGCGTCTGCGCATGCGTGAACCGTCTAGGTTTGGCGCTATTTAAATTCTGGGCAGTCTGGGGATCCCTGTGTACCTGCAAGTCATGGGTATCCTGGCTAAACACCTGATTCAGTGTATTGAAGTGGTGCGGTTTCATCATTTGGCTGCTTGGATTTTTCTTCCATTTCAGAAGGTATTTCTTCTTTCATTTTTTTTTTTTCTTAGCTTCAGTGTCCATTGTTTTTGCAATTTGATAGACTTCTTGCCTTATTCTTAGTCTAGTATTTCTATTGTAGTATGGATTCTGCCTCTGCAAGATCCCTCTCTAAAAAACATAGTTGAGCCAATGTATATTTTACATTTTTATTCGGGTGTTAAAGCAGCACTGTCATGCCGAACTTATCTTTCCCCAATCAATTCCTCTTCTCTCCCTCTCTCAGGATCTGTTCTACACTTCTTCCTGTCTGCTCTATTTTTCATTAAAACTTAAGAAAAAGTAGGGACTATTTCTCTTATGGAGTTTTCATACGCCGTGGCCAGCGGAGGAGCAAAGTGTGCTTCGTTTCCAGTGGTCACAGCAATTTTCCCACAATCCTTACCTTTCCTCCCTGTTCCCGCGATACTTCCGGTCACTTAGACAGGATGCCTTCAAAACTGCCGAATTGCGTTCTAACAGTTTCTCCATTCGTGTTAAAACAAAATTCGGGACTTTGTTCGTATGGGAATTTCATTAGAATGAATGAAACTCCAATCCTATTCATGGCCGCGGCTGCATCTTGCAGCCGCTTAGTAGATAACTCCCTAATTCCCACTGTATTAGGGAGAATTGGTCTTTCAGCCACATTTACTAATACTAAGTAAAGATACTTAGTATTGGTAAGAAGAAGTTCCAAAAGCAGAAAGATTCAAGGGTATTTACTCCACAATGTTTTTGGCACCAAAACCACAAGGAAAGTGGTATCTAATTCTGAACTTTAAAAAAGTAAATTCGTTGCTTAACGTAAGAATATTCAAAATGGAATCATTACAAACGATTATGAAAAACTTCAATTCCGGGGCCTACCGTTTGGCTTCAGCTTGGTACCAAGGACGTCCTCAAAGGTTTTCATCACTTTAATAGCCTTTATAAGAGACAGAGGTATAACATTTTTCATTATTTGGATGATATCCTCATCATAGGCCCATCCCATCGGATAGTGGCTCATCATACTCTAGTGGCGATGAACATTCTTCTGGATCGCGGCTGGATATCTATAACTGCTCCCAGGAAGACAATCTCAGCTCAGGCATATCTCTCATCAGAAAGGGCCCTGAGAATCCAAGACAAAATCAGGAAAGTACAAACTCAAGAAGGCATCAGCGAGAGTGGTTAGGAGTCTTCTGGGTTCCCTGACATCCACACTTGGGCTAGTAAAAAGGGATCAATGGAAGTCACGCCATCTGCAGAATTGCTTTCTTCTTCAATTTGACAGAGTAAAAGCAGATTGGGATCGAAAATAACTCTTCCTTACTCTGTAAGAAAAACATTGAATTGGTGGAAAAACAACGAGAATTTGGCAGAAGGCTTCCCATTGGAGGAACCTTCTTGGAACAGATGCAAGTTCTTTTGCATGGGAGGCCCACTTTGAATCAATATGGAAGCAAAGGAAGTGGACCCGCGAAGAGAGCTGTCTGCACTCAAATTTGAGGGAACTAAGGGCCATATACAGAGCGGTTTCTTCTTATGTGAACAATCAAGGAGCCACAAGAATTGATAGAATTGGCACCCTTGATGGAAGTGGTTCCTTCAAGAAGGCCTGGACAAAAGCCTTAGTATCAGCACTCTTAAAGTTCAGTCCTCTGCTTTATCAGCACTGTGCAATGTCTCTTGGGCTTCGGATCCTTTGATCTCGAGATTCTTCAAGGCAGCCTTCAGGATGAGACCTCCTACCAGATCCGGTACCCCTACTTGGGACCTTCCTCTGGTACCTGAACTACCTGATTGATGATCTGTTCGTTCCTCTGGAAAATTTGGATGATACCCTTCTGACTTACAAGACCCTGTTTTTTGGGGCAATTACTTCTGCAAGAAGAATTTCGGAGATTAAAGCTTTTTCTACCATGGCCTCCTGTTTGCAGATCTATTAGGATAGGGTGTGTCTAAGGCCAAAACCGTAGTTTCTTCCAAAGGTGGTCTCTCCGTTTCATCTGTCCCAAGAAGTGGACCTTCCATCATTTTATCCTAATCCATCTTCTGAAGAAGTTAGGTGGCAACGTTTGGATGTTAAGAACTGTTTATCTCAATACCTAATTCATTCTGAGTCTTACAGAAAAACTGACCAACTCTTTATTCTACCTTCAGGTGCTAGAAGAGGAGAGGCAGCTTCTATAGCTACGTTGAATTGTTGGATTTCATTGATAATCAGGAAAGCCTCCAAGGGTCAGCCTCCTCCAGTTAAGATAAGAATGCATTCTACTAAAGCTTTGTCGACTTCATGGGCTAACGGGGCAGAGGTTCCATATGACGATATTTGCAGAGCAGCCACCTGGTCTTCCCCGATTGATGTTTGTCACAAACGCACCCTACTTCAAGAGTGTGCGTGACGCAGTTGTGGTGGTGAAAGGGTTAAAGTTCTCTATTTGTGTGCACTAGACCGGAAATAATGATAAAATCCCCCTCAACACCACCCACACTTAAGCATAATAATATAAATTTTACTATTTTAATGCTGCCACCACCAAGACAATTTATAAATGGGGTGCCCTGGTCCCCCAGGTAACTTAATAATAAAAACCCACAAAATACAACTTAGCACAATATCTGTGTAATTGCAAAATACTAAATAGTCTGTTCATGTAATGTGATTCTTAACCAGACAAAGCCAGAAATTAAGAAAGGAATATTTATTATGAGCAAAAAAAATAGTCACTGTGCATACAAAAATATAGATGACAATCAAATTAGTTACACCAACAATAGATAAAAACTAAATGGATCAAATAACAGAAGTCCTAATTACATACTCAATCTTTCAAAGTACAACTTCTGCCCCCAGGGGGTCTCTGGTAAGAAAGATGGTGACTCACTTAGAATTAGATTCTGGCCCCTCAAGCAAGTACAAAGACACATTTCAGAATCATTAAACATATACTCAGTGGATTACCAAGCCCTGCCAAGAGGTGGAGATAATGCATAACTATACGTGACCACCCCCTTGTGTTTCAGACCAACACCAATCTAAATTTGGTCCTATCTCCTCTTATGTACTTGTCACAGAAAAATAATAATTGCATCTATGAATTGGTTACCATTTCTCCATTCCATAGATGTCACATTTCTTACTTGTGACCCAATATAGCGAACAACACAATCCCTTCCCCTATGGTTAAGTTACCTAACTCATGCTTGGGCTTCATTAGAAGATTGTGCTGGTCACGTTCCAAATATAACAAAAAATGAGGCTTAATTATTATTCTGTGGGTAAATCTTAATGTTCCTTTCTTTTGGATATGATACTGGAACACAAGGCTTGTTCTTTCTCTTTTCTTGAAAGCTAATGATCGTTAACATATCAAAGAAATCCACCACTCAATTAAAAGGTAGATGCTATATGGCTGAAGTCAGCTAGTTTACATTAGACTTCCAGGCCACTTATGTGTGACTTCTCACACCCTACTGAGCTTTTGATTAATCAAAGCACATGGTAAACTGTCTGCTCCCTTTTACATTCCTATGCAATTCACACTACCCCTTCTGTCATCTGATCTTTACCAAGTGTTCAATTCATATATGCACTACACAAATTACATTAATATTCTATTGTGCAACAATGAATTATGCACCCTTGGTGTGACACCTCCCCCAAATAAGAGACGCAGTGGGAGGCGGCTCCTATGCCTCTACGTTGCATATCTACACTTGTTCTTTTTTGCCTCCACATCATACACATCTTTTTCGTAACACTGTTTATGCATGAATGGAGTAGCCCTCATGTGTTCGCACACCTCCCCCCAAAAGGCTTGCCTTTAGTCCCTAAGCCATATCTACAACACACATGCCTGTTTCCATTTCCCACTGGTCACATCTCTCGGGCCACACCCACTGCTCCTATGCAATAGCTATAAGGGTGAAAAAATAACAGATTTCTGCAGTACTCCCCTTTTAATACACAAAAGATGAGACCGAGAACACTCCCAGGGTACTTGCGCTGTATCAACACCCTTCATCTCTTATTTGGGTGTCTGTCTGCTGGGCTCGTCCCACTGCCTCTGAACCTTTGCTTCAGAATCAGACAGTGGCTTAGCGACAGACTCCTGCTCCTGAACTAGCTGGGGTGTATGCGGGATGTGAGATGGTAATAAGCTGACAAGGTTCCTGGTTCCCCCAACAGTATACTCCTCTGCGGACATTCTCCCTGGACCCACTAGCTGAGTCTGTCCCTGCCCTTCACTTTGGCCAGACTGGGGATGGGTCCCCCTTTCTACTGATGGAACCTATTGTCTCTCCCTCACTTTCATTCCATATCCTCATACACACAGAACCTTGGGAACTGGCTGAGTCTGACGCAGAATAAGGCGCACACACACTCTGCTCTCCCAGCCATCCTGTCTCTCTACCTTTTCACACAGCACATCAGATAAATTTGCTTTAGGCATATTTATTCATTCAGCCCCCTCTCTAGAAGGCTTTTCCTGTACATTTTCACAGGACACCTTTGACATCCCTTGGTCATGCACCGAATGTTGCGCATACTCACATACTTCTCTCTCCCAGCCAGGCCATCTTCTCAAACTCCCACATAGCCCCTCAAACTCTCCTTAATCTGGCACCTGACCCACTCCTGGCTGTGACATAGGTGAACCTACCAATTTATCTTGCCCTGACTCCCCATGAGTTAATCCACTTGTGCTTTCACATTGCATCCCAAACAACCCTGGCTCTGACACAGATAGGCACACACGCTCATCCTGCCCTACCTGCCCGTGAAGTTTTTTTTGCCCATCCCCACATGTTGGGAAGAAGTGAGAGGCTGTCATTCACTCCCAGTTGTCCTATATTGCAGGGCTCTTAAATAGCTACGGCATCCGACCGGACCCCTGTTCAGCGATACACATCGGGTGGCCAGCTGATGGGCAAATCACAGCAGAACCACAGTTTTGTACTCGCAGAACCCCAGAGTTCTGGGGAACACCAATTGGGAAACACTGCTTTAAGGAAAATCTGCCCTGTTTATGCACTATATACAGATAGTGTATTTGATTAGTAGATTTAGTGTAAAGCAAAGCACCTAAGGGAGATTACATTAACCCCTTCAGGACGGAGCCAATAGTACACATTCTAATCAAAAGAAAATGTAAACAAAACCTGGAATTTGCGCTATATGTCTGTTCACCTGTAGTTCACCTCTTTCATGTTAAGTGCATCCACACTTATTATATATAATTTTGTTCAGGAGAAACAGGGCTTTAACTTCTCATGAACTATTCATATATGAAACATAACTTATTTAAAACCTGTCATATACATGTGTGTACTTCAATCAGACACCCAAGAAGGTTCTCTTACCTTGGATATTTCTCTGTCTTCAGGCTGTGGAATTCCAGCAGACTTCATACAGCCAGGATATCCATTATTAGCACTCTTTTTCACAATGTCTCATTGCATTATCAGCACTCCTTTGCACAATGCCTCCTTGCATTATCAGTACTACTTTGCCCAATGCATACTTGTATTATCAGCACTCTTTTGCACCAAACATCCTTGTATAAACTTACCTAAATGCTCACCACACAAAACTCCTAAATGTGACCTATTTGTTAGAAGGAAGCCTAATGTAAGCAGCTGGGAGGGAATGAAAGAACAGAGACCCAGGTGCCTATACTAGTTTTAATCTAAATTACTAATGCACTTACCTGAACCATTGCAGGCCTGTGTTTCAGCGGCAAAATGGGGATTTGAACAACTGACAGCCTAAACTGTTTAAACTATAGGCTTCCATCTGTACCCCATATGCCGTTCATCATCACGGCATATGGGGGTGGAATACATAGAATAGGTATACCCCGGTAGTCACAACTCTGTTGGGCCTCATGTATGCAGTGTACCGCTGTCATCCTCTCAGGGAGAGAGATAGGTTAGACTCCTGATTGCTGAAGGAGGTACCCAGGCTGGCAACTCTTACACATGTGCTGTTTGCTGGGTCTTCAGGGATAAGGGCTTAGACTCAAGTGGGCCTCATGTATGCAGTGTGTCATCACTTCCGAGAGATAGGACGGACCCCTGGTTGCTGAAGTAGGAGCCCAGGCTGGCAACTCTTACCGGTATGCTGTTTGCTGGGTCTTCAGGGGTAAGAGGCTGAACCATGGCCTGGCTTCATGTAGGCAGTATATCACATTCATCCCCTGAGGGGCTACCCAAGCTGGCCTGATGCTGGGTCTTCAGGGATAAGAGGTTGAACCCTGGCATGCAGTGGACCATTTTCATCCCTTTGAGGGAGAGGTTGGGTCCGACCCCCGGCCACTAAAGAGGGTACCCAGGCTAGCCACTTCATCTTAGTGCGTTTTGCTGGGTTTTCAGGGCTTAGAGGCTGAACCCCGGCAGGGCCTAAAAAATATTGCCTGGTGAGCATAAAAGAAAAAAAATCTAGGCCTGCATAAGCAGACTCTTTCCAAACTGCTGTGAAGGACAGGAAAAAAAGACTGCCTGATGGGAAGGGGGAGGATCTATTTATACCAGTTTCAAAGTTCTATTTCCTGTCCTTTCTAATGTAAGGGGAGGAGCTAACCCATGAGTAAATGCTGCCATGAATAATGGTCAGGAAATATATATACACACACAGACACATTTAATTAATTTTAAGCATGTTTAATATTTTTTTTTTAATACTTCCCACCAGCAGGGGGACTGTCTGACAGTCCAGACAGTCCCCCTGCTGGCAGATACACAGCCAGCTATAGGGGGCCATATTTGCCGTGGGAGGGCTGCCTGGGCTGTCAAGCAGTCCTCCTGAGGAGGATCACGGCGGAGGTAAGTAAATTTTACCTCCTGGGGCTGCAAGCCGTTACGGCCTATGCTGCCGCAACGGCTTTAAAGCCCATTTAAATGGGGACGGCATAGAACGCCATAACAGCGTAAAGGGGTTAAAGGGACACTCTAAGCAACATAACCACTATAGCTTAATATAGTATTGTTGCTTTTCCCAAAAAAGATTTCTTGTTTGGAGTTTGACAAAAAACAAAAACAAGGATCTTCCCTACTGTGAGCTGCAGTGATTATGTTACACAGTATGCCTCTAAGCTTTAATAAAATAACTTGCTATATATTTAGATAAGTTTGATATTGTACAGGAATTTTTGTGTACATATCTCGGTAATAAGGCCATGTTATTGAAAACTGTCCTTATTGAAGGTAAGATGTGATTAATTATATGGTAATGACTCCAGAATCGTCCCTTCACATACTCATTGAACATTGCTCCCATGTAGTAACAGAGGGCTACGACTTTCCCACTGTTATTCATTATGTACAACAAGTACTCTTTATAGTTCCCAGTGTCTTTTTCATCAGGACATTTTGATACCCTGGTAATTTTACATTCTACCATCAATTCTAACAGGAATTTAATTCGTTCATAGCGGATGAACAGCATTTGTGCACAAGTCTAGACTTCAGTAACAATTAAATTAAACAATGAATTAACAATTAAATTAAAGCTAATTATAAATCAATTGTCAGCTTTTATTTTAACCTATTTTTTTGCATTGAAAAGTTGAAGCATACACTTGGCATTACTTATGGAACGTCATGTAGATTCTCACTACGTGAGAATACAATACAATACATGTAATGGTTACAGGTCACTTTCTTATTGCAGTGATGCTAAATTCCTCTTGTTTTAATGTGAGTGGACTGAATGATAAAAATAATGCTGAATAAAAAAAAGTGTGAACTGTATGAACTCTTAATAAATTTGTAATGGTAACTCTAAAGAGATACAGAAATAAACTGTAGAAAAGTAAATATGTAAGGTTTAAATGTTCTAATATTGTGTTAGTTCACTTTAATATATCACTAGATGCAGCCATATTTTATCACACGTTTACTTTATTTTATTAATCCGATGAGTAAAAATAAGTAAATAGCTACCCTTGTCATTCTGGGGTGGGGGTTGCAATGGATTAATGAACGGAGAAATTTACCCCATTGTATTGCAAAGTCTCTTATTTATCTCTTCTAGCATAAATAGTTGAGGCATAGTGGAATGTGTTAACATTAAAGGAACACTATATTGTTCACAATACAAATGTGTATTCCTAACACTATAGTGTCCCTCCCTGTAGTGTATATATAGGGTTTATAGCCCTTTTTTCACCTACCCGATTTTAGCACCAATGTCCCTCGGAGCTAGGTTGGGCTCCGCCAAAATTATGGCGATTTAGGAACCTAATGCTCGTGCACGCATTAGGCCTTCCCCATAGGAAAGCATTTAATTAATTGTTTCTTATGGGGATTCTCTAGACGCTGTGCATCCTCATGCAAAGTGTGAGGATGTCTAGCGTCATTTCATTGAGTCAAACTCTGTGAAACTGCAGGAAGCACCTCAAGGAGTTTTACATTGCAAGGGTAAGGGGACAGGAACTGTGCATCCAGATCACTTCAATGAGATGAAGTGGTCTGGGTACTTAACTTTACCTTCCAACATGGACTTTTGTGCTGTTTGTTTTAAAAATAGTGTGATTGTCCTGTAAATATTTGGGTTGGAAAGTATTTTAGGAAACAAGATATGCTTTGTGCACCCTTGCAATAACTGCGTAATTATTCATTCACAAATTACTATGGAGTAAAAGTTATGAAACTCAAACAAGTATCTAATAGCTCAGGTACCACATATTTAGCTAATCCTTTTTATACACAGTGATAAGTAGCTTTGATACTATCAACCTAGCGGCTCCTCTCAACCCATTCCATACAGTTTTCATTGTGTGTTGACGTACATATTGACGTCTACTTACTATTGATTTCAAAAGGTTTACCAGTTTTTAGTTCACGACAAGAGGCGATTCCTTGGTGCTCCCTATGATAGGGATCATAGTTTGGATCAGACTCCCAAAAAAAACTTTAGAAGAAAAATGAAAGTAAAAATAACTTATTCTGTAGATAATGAAGCACAATAAAATTTAAACTTTGGCAGAAAGTTTTATATAAAAAAGGTGTCTTTTATACAGAAGAAACCATGAAAGGCAGATTACTTTACATTGTAAAATGTATCCCCTTGTTGCTTTTTATGACTATTCCCCCGTCCTACTGTTATACTCCGATATATTTACAGATGTAATCTTGAGAAGGTAGCTATGGAAATATGTCTTTATGAAATATAAATCTGTTTCAGATTCGATAACATTTGTTTCAGTGAAGATATATGTATGGTGTTTATGGCACTTTATTATTATTATTATACTTGGTACAGCACAAAAAATTACCAAATATTTGTTTTCATAATAACATAAATTTTTACATATTAGATCAGTGGTCCCAAAAGGAAATTTCTGAATTATCATGCCTTGATAATCACTGAACTATAAACAATCATATGAAGTATAAAAAGATCCTTGTTTTTTTTGTACATGAAAAAGTATTATAAAAAAAAAAATTACAAAACAGATATAATAAGGGAAATCTAGGATTACCACTAGGGTAATTGATAGACTTACTCTTGTGTTAAATATTTAGAAAACAAAATCCATACATTTTAAAAATATTTTCATATTGTATAATTTCTTTAAAAGAAAAAAAATAAATCTCCTACTGTCACAATTTCTGGTAAAATTGGTGCAATAATTCAATCCTTCAATACAGAAACAATCTTCCCACTACAAGAAGTATGCTATAGACATTTGCTCACCGTGATAGAAAAGAGTGTATTGGCACCTAACAAAAACAACACAGAGTCACAAACCTTCTCCTAATGCATTTCAGAACCTTAGGTCCTCATTCTCATTCATAGGAACACTGGGAATACACACATAACTCATTGTTATTAAAGTTTTGTGAAGGCTAACAGAGATTATAGGGAAGGACAAGTAATCTGCAGAAAATCGGTTTTCAAGTCTAAAAGGAAAGTATCATTTTCTAGTAATGACTTTATGAGTTACTCTGGCTTCCTTATATAATTTACTTTCAACTACTCTTGAATCAGATATGGCTCAGATAAGTCTAAGGAAAGACAAGATAAAATTACAGCATATTACATAAAAAAAGATTAGAACATCTAAGAGAAAAAAAAGAGTTGTACAATAAATGAAAGAAAAAAAATATAGAGAATACTCAAATACAGATAATTTTTTCAATATTTTGGGTGCTGAACTTTCAAAAGTAGAATTGACAGTTTTGGTAAAGGGGCTTAACATTTTTCTACCTATTTTGATAGCTTCAATACCATCCTTGACATTAATACATTTGTGATGGCTCTTAACAGTTAAAAAGTATTTTATGCAAAGTGGTGGAGTTAGGATGCAGATGGTGCAGGACATATTTTAGTGCAGTTCTGCTGTAACCAGCTCACTCCCAATATACTCACCCCATCCCGAGTGATAATTGTTTCTCCAATGAAACGCAGAATGTTGAGGACTAAGACTCGTAAGCTACCTGCAAGGCAATGCAAATTTACCACTTCCCTCTTTGAAAACGGAGCTGAAGTTCTCAGATGAAGGACCAAAGATGGCGACCACTCAGCCTCTGACTTTGACAAGAAGTCGGACCACTTGGCCTATGTCAGAAAAGGTGGGACGGCTAGCACTATTGAATCCTCGGCTGTGGACCTACCTACACCAAATTCAGGAGAGACTTAAAAACCATTAAGGCTGACATTAGATCTCTGCCCACTGATATTAAACAAGAGTTGCTGGAATTTGAAACTAATACTACTAAAGACAAGGTGGATTAAATAATCACACACCACAACACATTATTCAATGAGCACAGCACATTAAATAGAGAGGTAGGCTTGTTTGAAAGTAAAATGGCAGACATGGAAGACCAGGAGGAACATGCTCTGCATCAGGGGAATAACTGAAGACATCAAGACCCCTGACTTGGGGGACTTTACTAAGTAATTCCTTATGGAACTGCTACCATCAGTAAAGCCATTTTAGGTACAGCTGGACTGAACCCACAGACTCCCCAAAGCTTCCTCCACTTTACAGGGGACTCCCAGGGATGTAATTACATGAGTATATAATTACACAGCAAAGGCAAAGGCCATGAAAAATTCTGTAGCAATAAACATCACTTTTATCAGTTTCCTCGATTACACCTCTATGCAGACCTGTGCAATCTCACCTTGCAGTTGCGCAGGGAGTTTGCCCCAATTACCATCTTTTTGTGCTCTCACGGTATGCCATACCGTTGGAGCTACCCGGTAAAGCTTATCATAACCAGCAATGTCCAACCTCTATTGCTTCCTCTCCACAAGCCGAATCCAAATTACTACAACAATGGGGCATGTTCTCAGATCCTTTTGTACCCAGTCAAGTGGACTCCTCACCAACACCCATGCTTTCGCTTTAAGTGGACCTGGTGCTTCACCCAGGCTAGAGGCCTCTCCAGCTAGTCCTCAGCAAGAGCCAGCCTAAAATTCTGGTTCTGCTCATGGTGGCTGTCCTTCCCTCCACTAGTTTCTGGGCTATATCTGCTCATATTTGGGTTTAATATTTACGTTGTTACATTTTCCAATTATATGTCCGCTAATCCATGCGTTCAATGTGATGCTTATTTTTACTTTATACAAATGTGATTTAAGGCCTAGGGGCTGTGGGTTCCATTTACTAATTGCTCATAACTTACCTATTCCATTTTTTGAGCTGGTTCTTAGTCCTGAGGTCCATTATATGTTGCTATCTCCCCATTCCACACTGTGCTGTTACAGTTTGGTCGCCAGCATATTAAGTCCAGATTATGGACTACCACAATTTTTATACTCTCTGAATTCTAGTGTTGTTTTGCTTCCTGCTTTTCTCTTCTCTCTCTATGCTTCTCCTTTCTACTAAGGTCTCCCTCTACATATAACATCCTCATAATGTGGACACAACCAAATCTTCTCTTGACCAAGATGCTGGAAGTTCTCTACTGGTCTCCATCAAATAATATATATCCAATCCTTATTGGGCATATACAAAGGCTATTTAAATGCTTGCAACCTGCTTTGAGGCTCATGCTTTTATATAGATCTCAAGCATAATGCTGCAGATATATTTTTATGGTATGTTTTGTATTTTTGTTACCGTAACAGTGTTTTTGGAATTAATTTTGCATGTTTTTTTTTTTTTTTGTATCCCTATACTCTACTATATGTTTCTTCTGTGAACGGGATTACATTTTATAATTCAGCCAAGATTGCTTAGGAATTTGCAAATTTTAACTCAAATCTTTATAACTTTAGAGATGATTTCTCAGTGCACCAGCACACTCAATTTGTGCTTTACTGGAATGGTTACACTTACCTAAAAACCCTGACTCATACTTACCTTGTCAGTTCCTATGCCTGTAGAAGAGATAACTGCTGCCATTCAAACATTGAAACCTTATAAATGTCCTGGCCCTGATGGCTTTTCAGGTCTTTATTAAAAAAATGTTTCCTCAGTCTCTATCCTCTACATGACCTCGCTGCTTAATTCCTACATAATGGCTAACTCTGTTTCTTGTGAGTTTCTGCTCGCTCACATCATTACACTTCCCAAGCCGAGAAAACATCCAGTGATATGCATGAATTTTTGGCTAATGTCCCTGCTTAACATCTTTGCAAAACTTCTGGCAAACCGCATTAACCACATACTACCCCTCCTACTTCACCCCGATCAGGTGGGGTTTGTCTCTTACACCTTCTGATAATACTAGGAAGTTCATCAATATCCTCCAACATACCCACCATGAGTCTTGGCTGTGCCTGCCCCTCTCGCTGCTGAAAAGGGTTCACTGAGGATATAAGTGGGAGGTGCTGTGGTTTCCCTAATTATTTCATTGATGCTGTTAAAATACTGCTTAGTATCTCTAATGGGTCTAGACAGGTGTGCCCACATTCTCAGCTCCAACATGACTTGGTCTTGGAGCCACTTGCTGTAGCTATCTGCTGCAACCCCACTCTCTAGGGCTATACATTTTCTTTGTCTGTCTCTAGTGTCATGTTTTTGCTGTTGTTAAATAAGAAAGGAAAAAACACAGTTTAAAGCGCTCAGAATTTGGAACTAACTAGGTAACAAATTCCTTCTTGACCCCAGAATAGCAGTCAGATCTTTCCTTAGATCAAGATGCTGTTACCCCGCAATTTAAAAATTATATCCCTGAATATAATGCTTTTGCAAGTATTTATCCACTTGCTGTTTAAATATCAACGCTGATTTATAAAACCTTCTCTTCAGGCAGAGAGTTCTACATCCTTATTTTTCTTACTGTAAAAAAATCTCTCCTTTGCCTTA